AAGTCGGTGTGGTGAGGTCGGTGAAATGAAACATGGCGATTCTAAGTCGGCGGTATCTGACAGGTCGGCATCGCAGACAACACTACGAGACGGCGGCCCCGACGTCTGACTATTCTGACGACGCCGACGTTCCACGTCTGCCGACAATCTCCCGATGGAAAAAAAACTAAGGGCGAGCCGTCAAGGGAATGGGGGAAAAATCTAAGTGCCAGCTAACGGATGAAAAGCACAGAGAACGGCAGGCAGAATGAGCGACCTGCAATTGGACCCCAGATTGGTATGGTCGTGAGCGACTCCGCTCCACTTGGCGCTCCACGCAAACCCCTGTGCAGGACGCAGCTATGCATGTACGCTCGTGCGGCGGCGCCGTGACCGACGTGCCACCGGGCGTGCATGCTTGAAGCGCTTCGCTCATAATGCGCCTTTCATGGGTGTTACACGCTGGCTCTGTGGTGCGGTACGTGGCGTGGTCCCAGCGCGGTAGTTCGAGGGCGGGAGACACTGCCGCGTGGCACCACGATGAAGACCTTCTGGTCGACGCCGACATTCCCGCCAGTATCCACTGCACCTAGCCAGAGGTAGTGGACGGTCGGATTTCGCCTTGGGCATGTGGGCAACCGTTGGATGATGGCCGTGTGGTACGCACCGACCTGGCAACGCTTGGGCGCGAAGTTTTCCCACGCGAAGCACCCCCACCTTCCGTTGGCCCGTCGTGGCCACCCTGGCTGTCCACGATGGCCCCGCCATCCAGGGGTCGATCTCGGACGTCTCTTTTTTGGCCGCATGGCGATCATCGCGGCCCGACGTGCCGAGCTGGGATGACGTCACGCGGCTGAGACGACCTTCTCGGGATTGTCTCAGCGGAACCCAAGGTCGACAGGTCGTCGACAATCCCGAGGGGTCACCAGCACTGGGCCCAGCCAGCTCGCCTGGGCTTTCCACGCGGTGGTCGTCGCGGGAGCGAGCTTAGAGTGTTAAAGGGACTTCACTAAGTTTCTAGCTTGTCCCAGCGACAAAGGCAAAATTCCGGTGTGTTTCTGTAACTTCGCCGAATTTCAGGAAGCTTGAGTGACTTAGCCGAATTTCCAGTATGTTTCAGACTTCGCTGAATGTCCAGTGTGCTCCAGTCTCTTGAGTGAATTCTCTGAGTGCTTCAGTGACTCGGCCAATTTCCAGTGTTTCAGGGAACATTCCTACCGTGTGTCTGACATCAGGTCATCCGCCCTTTGTCTCTGATTTGTCTAACCCAATGTTGATTTACCCCCAATTTCGAGCCACTTCGGGTCTTCCGAGCATCCAAGGACGGATGACCTGATGTCAGACACGAGCTAGGAATGCGCCCAGTGACTCGCTGAACGTCGAGTGTTTTCTAGTGACTTGGGCGGTTTTCCAGAGCGCTTCAGTGACTCAGCCAAATTTCCTGTTTGTTTCAAAGACCTGGCAGGATTTAGACTCGGAAACGGCTGGGCTGACAGGATGCTCTCACCTGGAATTGAAGGGTACGGTTTTACTCATGTCAAGGCGTGTCAGGGCGGTACAAGCGTCGAAGTCAATTTCAGCAGGGTGACCTGAAACATTCACTCTGAAAAACAGGCTAGTCAGGATAAAACACCCTGACTTCCTGGGGCCTGCTCACGGGCAACCTCTTTGAATAAAAATACAGTTATCTAATCATATCCTACCCCTTCCAGCCTATCCTGAAGTGGCCCAGCTAGTTAGCTGGTTCACTTCCGAAAGATGAGGTCCCGGGATCAAATCCCCCCTGCGGCGTGTTCTGCCAGCCCCCCAGAAGGGGGTTACACAGGTGCTCATCTGGGAGTGGATAGAACAACCTCGTTGACCCAGTTTCCCCCCCTCCTTTAACCTTAACCTTAACCTACCCCTTCCAGCCTGAATTCGATGCTCTGCTGCGGGCTGCGTGGCCAGCTAGGTGCATGGTGTACTGAGAATCACATCGCATCCAGCCCCACCAATGCGAGAACTTCAGCCACCGCCACGCTCCACTCCCTCCCCTCCCCCCCCCCCCCAAATCCGGCGGCAACTTTCCCCCACCAGCCAAAATGACAAACCCTAGAGTGTGGAGCAAGATGCCATGCATGTGCTTGTAGCTTGCGCTGAATGAGTTGTGCTGGCCGATCGTAAGGTCAAGGTTCGTCGGTAGGCACCAAGGCAAGATGATCCATCATCCACATCAAACCCTCTTGTTCACAGATGGCAGCCTTGCAGGGGGGCCCCAAAGGGCCTCCGAACCGACCCGACAGGGTTCTCGTTAAGAGTCTCCAGGAACCCATAAGTATTCATCCGAAACTTTCTCAACCATTCTGTTATCTGCCCAAACCTATGCATTCCACATTCGCAGATCTGATTACACATCAAACCCGAATCCACCACACTGGATCTGACGCATCTGGTGGGCAATCTCCGCCGGGCAGGTTTTGTGAGATGAGAACACGGGCGAGGGGGGGTTGGGCTGAGGGGGAAACTCCAGGGGAGGAGAGGACAAGCAGTCACGCGTGCCTGCAAGTCTACCGTGTTGCAGATTCCCTCCCACCCACCCATCCCATCCCACCCCAACCATCGCCCAACCAACACCACCTGAGAGAGACCCCCAAAGGCAAAACCCAGGGCCCACATTCCTTCTTGTATGAGATTTATTGCAAAATAGTATTCTGGTAAAGGAAATCAGATCTGAACACTGGCTATTTCCTCGCCTGCTAGGAAACAATGTGCTCTTGCCGCTCAGCCTGTGTTTGAGTGCGGCGATTTCTAAGTGCATTTCTCGTCGTTTCTCACGCGCTTCGCCTTTCATCATTTTGTTTATTCTCCAATCATGACAATCCTTCACTCTCTTCGGCAATCCCAAGGAACATCGCAGCTTGCACTCTCTCCAACAGATTTCCGCATCATCGCCGCCAGTAGAGGAGCTTTATCCGCGCTAAACTGTTGCTGTGAAAACCAGCTCAAGGCCTTCCACTTCGCCGACATTTTCCTCGTAGATCCCAAGGGAAAACTTCAGTCGGAGGCAGAAACTGCTAACGTGACCAGAACTCAATTTAAGGGGAACTTAAGCTCCCATTGGACTGAAGTTGTCGATCAGCTGCTTTCTCAGAAAGAAAACGTCGTTATTCTTGAAGGGAAACTCGCCTTGCCAGCGTCTGACACTCAAAATTGTCAGTGCATTGATACTACTGCGTCTACTTCTAGTACTAATATCACTACCAGTGGTAGAGGTGTTTTGTTGGTGAATAATGAAGCTGCAGATGATGGTACTGCCACTAAATCCGCAGGGAAAAATGCTGGCGGTGCATTTCTTTACAAAATTGTGCCAGAAACTGAAGATTCCTCCCTTCAGAAGGCTCCACTTTCCGTTGAAGTCACCTTGGAGCTCCTAAAACTTGAAGTTCAAGACAAAACTCATAGCAGAAGTGGTACTACTACTGCTGCACTGCAGCATGATGGCAGCACGGCCTGTCCTGAACGACTTCTGATTGCCAGCTTTCGTCTGAAGACTTCTGGGGAGCGAAGCTCCAAGTCACAGGTATTTTTTTTTTGCTCAATCAAGATGATCTTGCTTGCTGAGTCTACAGTGGCTGGAGAGTGAAGCAAATCACATCGGATGAGTTGATCAAAAGACGCTAGGTCCTGTGTTGGTATGCACCCCAGAGAGTAATGGATGTGTGTGTGTGTGTGTGTGTGTGTGTGTGTGTGTGTGTGTGTGTGTGTGTGTGTGTGTGTGTGTGTGTGTGTGTGTGTGTGTGTGTGTGTGTGTGTGTGTGTGTGCGCGTGCGTGCGTGCGTGCGTGCGTGCGTGCGTGCGCGTGCGTGCGTGCGTGCGTGCGTGCGTGCGTGCGTGCGTGCGTGCGTGCGTGCGTGTGTGTGTGTGTGTGTGTGTGTGTGTGTGTGTGCGAGTGAGTGTCACGCGTGTTGTGTGTGCGTGCGTGCGTGCGTGCGTGCGTGCGTGCGTGCGTGCGTGTGTGTTTGAGTGTATGTGTGTGCGTGCGTGCGTGAGTTGCGTGCGTGTATGTGTGTGTGGTGCGTTTGTGCATGTTGCCATGCATATTTTTTTTTTCCCATCACCCACCTCTTATCCTTCTACTTCTTTCTCTCTTTGCCCAACTCTTTCTCTGTGTTCCTGCCTCTCTCCTCTCCTCACTCATTTACCTTATATGGCCGCCCGCTCCCCCCCTCCCAACCTTCTGTTTTCCTGCCCCAACTCTCCAGTTTCGACGATCTATGACCAGCAGAACCACAGCTCACCTTGTCTCCGCTCTAAATCATGCAATTCAGACCGTGAGTCGCCTCAGTAATAAAGGCACGTCCGCAGATTCTCTTCAACCTGCCGCCTCACCTGCCATAACCATCAACGGTAATGCTCCCACTTCCGCACCAACCGCTACTATCACCATCACTTCCACTGCTGCTGCTACTCCTGGCGCTCCTAGTCTCTTCTCTCCCAGTTGCCACCTCCCCTTGGAAGACCTGGCCGAATGGGGCCAGCAGCTGGTTCAAGAGATGCAGGTGACATCTGGGGGCGGTTCTGCTGTTGCTGAAGAGACGGCGGGAGGAACGGATGCACAAGTAGGAAAGGAGGGAGGCAGGGTAGGGGGTGCAGCAGAGGTGCAGAGAAGGGACGGAGAAGCAGGAGTAGCAGGCGCAGCAGAAGCAGCAGAAGCAGAAGCAGCAGGAGAGGGAGCAAGAACAGGAGGAGCAGGAGCAGGAGCAAGGGACGAAGCAGCAGCAGAAGCAGCAGCAGGAGCAGCAGGAGGAATGGCAGGAGAAGGAGCAGCAGCAGATGGTTGCGGTGATGCTGCTGCTGCCAGTGGTGCTGCCGATAGTGTGGTTCGGTGGGCGAGCAATGCGGTGGGCAGGCTACAAGAGGCATTACAGGAGTATGGGTTGTTCAGGAGCATCTACGAGAGATCCAAGGTGATTCCGATTCTTTGGCCTCCACTGCAATATCGTCGCCTTACAGGAAGACGCGACGCGCCTCGCAGGGGGAGTATGGAGTGTTCATTAGTGGGCACTTATGCGAGAGTATGGAGTGTTCATAGTGGGCACCTATCTCTATGCGATATCTAAGTTGACCCTCCGCTTTTCGGTTTCAAAAATAGAGCATGGGCTGTGCTGTTCAAGAGCTCAACCCCTCCTCTTCCAACAACTCCCCACCACTCCCCCCTCCTTTTCCCACTCCATCCCCCGCTTTTTCCCAGCCATCCATCCCAGAAATCAACGTTCTTACAACAGGATCCGATAGTGGTATACAGCATGAGCCACCAGCTTCTAGACTGCAACCCAGCAGCTCTGCTTCTCCTCCGCTACCCCTCCAAAGCGGCTCTTCAGCACGCCGTTGCACTGGGGTGCGCCTCGCCACCTCGCTCCCCTGAGTTCCAGCTCACCCACCCCAACCCCCCGACTCCCTTTGCCTCTCCCCGTCCCCATTCCCATTCCCTCCTGCTGCCGCACCCCCCAATCTCCATTACAACAGGATCCGATAGTGGTATACAGCATGAGCCACCAGCTTCTAGACTGCAACCCAGCAGCCCTGCTTCTCCTCCGCTACCCCTCCAAAGCGGCTCTACAGACAGGTGACTTTTGAGTCGACTCAAAACGAGGTGACTTTTGAGTCAACTCAAAAGTTACTCCTCCTCCGCTACCCCTCCAAAGCGGCTCTACAGCACGCTGTTCCCCTGGAGTGCTCCTCCCCTCCTCTCTCCCCTCAGTCCCAGCTCACCCCCTCCCTTTTTCCCCACTCCCTCCGCCTCTCCTCATCCTCATTCGCATCACCACTCCCTCTGCCTCTCCCCATTCCCATCCCCCCCTTCCCTCCCCCTTACAACAGGATCCGATAGTGGTATACAGCATGAGCCACCAGCTTCTAGACTGCAACCCAGCAGCCCTGCTTCTCCTCCGCTACCCCTCCAAAGCGGCCCTTCAGCACGCCATTTCTCTGGGGTGCGCCTCCCCGCCTCTCTCCCCCGAGTTGCAGCCAGACGGGGAGAGGTCTGAGGAGAAAGGGGAGAGGATAGGGCGGGAGGTGGCGGAGAAAGGGGAGGTGGTGGTGCCGTGGACTTATAGGAAGCGAGATGGGGAGCTGTTGCACCTTCGGATTCATTACCAGGTAAGGTTTTCCCACACAAGTCATGACTCATGATCGCATGCGTACAGAGGTGCTAGGCTATTGTTGCCCTGGGGTGCTCCTCCCCGCCTCTCTCCCCCGAGTTGCAGCCAGACGGGGAGAGGTCTGAGGAGAAAGGGGAGAGGATAGGGCGGGAGGTGGCGGAGAAAGGGGAGGTGGTGGTGCCGTGGACTTATAGGAAGCGAGATGAGGAGCTGTTGCATCTTCGGATTCACTACCAGGTAACGTTCCGCTGCACAAGCCACAAGCGCACCCCTGCTCAGCTCATGCGTGTGGGTGCTAACAGTGTGTTTGTGGGCACGTGGCACGACCTCACAGAGACGCTGTGGCAGGAGGCGCAGCTGTGACCGATCTGCCTTCTTCCCTCTACGCTCATCCTCTTCTCTCCCTGCAATCAGCTCATGCGTGTGGGCGGGGACAGTGTGTTTGTGGGCACGTGGCATGACCTGACAGAGACGCTGTGGCAGGAGGCGCAGCTGCGGCGAGCTATGTACCGTCGTCCTTCCACCCTCCCCCTCCTCCCTCCCATACCTCCCCTCTTTCCTTAGCAGCTGATGCGTGTGGGCGGGGACAGTGTGTTTGTGGGCACGTGGCACGACCTCACAGAGACGCTACGGCAGGAGGAGCAGCTGCAGCGGGGAGCCAAGGAGGCAGCAGAGGCAGCTCACGAGTCAGCATCTGCCAGAGGCGTTATGGCAGGAGTAGAAGCTGCAGCTTTTTTAGTAGTTTCAGAAGCGCCTCTTAAGCTGCCTGATTCTCACTCCCCTCCTCCCCTCCCCCCTCTTATACACACAGCTCATGCGAATAGGCGATGACAGTGTGTTTGTGGGCACGTGGCACGACCTCACGGAGACGCTGCGGCAGGAGGAGCAGCTACGGCAAGCCAAGGAGGCAGCAGAGGCGGCGAGCGAGGCAAAGAGCCTCTTTCTGGCGAATATGAGCCACGAGATCCGCACGCCCATGAATGGTGAGGGGGGGGCTTAGCAATGCATGTATGGTGAGGAGGGGTGTGGTGGGTGCACTCAAGAGGCGGCAAGCCAAGGAGGCAGCAGAGGCGGTGAGCGAGGCGAAGAGCCTCTTCCTGGCGAACATGAGCCACGAGATCCGCACGCCCATGAATGGTGAGGGGGGAGGGAGCTGTCTAAGTCTACTTCTAGTCATGCATGCACAGTGTGCCCTTTCCCTTCTTACAGTGTCTCGATCCGCTTCTCTTCTCTTCCCCTTCCCTTCTACCACACACAACACCTCAGGCGTGGTAGGGGTTCTATCACCTCTCACAGCGGAGCAGCGTTCCTATCTGGACATCATTCGCACGTCAGGGGACAACCTGCTGAGAATCATCTCAGACGTGTGTGTGTGTGTGTGTGTGTGTGTGTGTGTGTGTGTGTGTGTGTGTGTGTGTGTGTGTGTCTGTGCGTACCGTCTCTCCCGCTCCCTTTCTCCTTCCTTCCCCTTTCCCCTTCCTTCCCCTTTCCCCCTCCCTTACCAGGCGTGGTGGGGGTGGCAGAACTTCTACTAGACACCCCCCTCACCACAGAGCAGCGTTCCTATCTGGACATCATCCGCAAGTCAGGAGACAACCTCCTGAGAATCATCTCAGACGTGCGTATTGTGTCCCTCTCCTCCCCTCTCACTCACCTCAGGCGTGGTGGGGGTGGCAGAACTGCTACTAGACACCCCACTTACAGCGGAGCAGCGCTCCTATCTGGACATCATCCGCACGTCAGGAGATAACCTGCTGAGAATCATCTGACGTGTGTGCGTGTGTACTGTGCCCCTCTCTCCCTTTCCCCTCCCATTCCCGTGTCCTTCCCTCTCTCCGTTTTCCTTTCCCCACCAGGTATGGTGGGCGTAGCAGAGTTGCTTCTCGATACCCCACTTACACCCGAGCAGCACTCCTACCTCAACATCATCCGCACGTCAGGAGACAACCTGCTGCGAATCATCTCCGACGTGCTCGACCTCTGTGTACTGTGTCTCTGTGACCCATTCCCATCTCACCTCAGGCGTGGTGGGGGTGGCGGAAGTGCTGCTAGACACGCCCCTAACACCCGAGCTGCGCTCGTATCTGGGCATCATCCGCACGTCAGGGGACAACCTCCTGAGAATCATCTCAGACGTACTCAACCTCTCCTTTTCCCTGCCTTCCGTCCTCCCTCTCACCGCAGGCGTGGTGGGGGTGGTGGAATTGCTACTAGATACCCCCCTCACCACAGAGCAGCGTTCCTATCTGGGCATCATCCGCACGTCAGGCGACAACCTCCTGAGAATCATCTCAGACGTGTGTGTGTGTGTGTCTGTGTGTACCGTCTCTGTCACCTCTCACCGCAGGAGTGGTGGGGGTGGCAGAACTTCTACTCGACACCCCCCTAACAGCGGAACAGCGCTCCTATCTGGATATCATACGCACGTCAGGAGACAACCTCCTCAGAATCATCTCAGACGTTCTCGACCTCTCCAAGATCGAGAGCCAGTCGCTGCCTCTGGAGGACGTGCCCTTCTGCCTCGCCACGTGCGTGAAAGAGGCGACTGCCCTGCTGTCTGTCGCTGCAGCAGACAAGGGCCTTCATGTAAGTGTTCAGGGACACTGGTAATGATGGGCAGTCGGGTGTCCTGCACCTCTCCAAGATCGAGAGCCAGTCTCTGCCTCTTGAGGACGTGCCCTTCTGCCTCGCCACGTGCGTGAAAGAAGCCACTGCTCTGCTGTCCGTTGCTGCTGCGGACAAGGGCTTGCAGGTGAGTGGAATCTGGAGACAGGCACCAGAGAGGGGCAGTTGGTTGTGGTTGAGGTCTCCCAGTGACGTAGTGTGTTGAGACGTCTAAAGGCAGTTGGTCGTGGTAGAGATCTCTTCCATGCTCGACCTTTCCAAGATCGAGAGCCAGTCGCTGCTTCTGGAGGACGTCCCCTTCTGCCTCGCTACCTGTGTGAAGGAGGCAACGGCTCTGCTCTCTGTCGCTTAAGCAGACAAGGGCTTGCGGGTGAGTGTCTAGTCTAGAAGGGCTCCTGCTGCGAATCATTTCAGACGTTCTCGACCTCTCCAAGATTGAAAGCCAGTCGCTGCCTCTGGAGGACGTACCCTTCTGCCTCGCCACGTGCGTCAAAGAAGCCACTGCTCTTCTATCGGTTGCTGCAGCAGACAAGGGCCTGCAGGTGAGTGCAAGAATGGGCTTAGAGAGGGGCTGATGGGGGTGTAAAGTGCGGTCTTGAGGGATAATACTCCCCCCTCTTCCTCCACCCTGCGGAGATTCACTCTACAACGGTAGTGAGCTAGACTACGGGGGTTGGCACGAACTACTAGGAGTGATCGTAGCTTTGCTTGGTTCCTTAACACTTGCGCAGCACGTGAGAGATTGGCAAGAGTTTCCACTAGCATAGTTTGAATTACAGAATGATTGAACAAGCAATGACAGAATGGACTACATCAGGCACCTAGCAACTCTGCAGCTAGCCTGGTCGACCGCCAGCACTGCATGGTCGACCGCGTGCCAGCGTTGCGTAGAGGAGCCGCGCCAGCACTGCAGAAGAGCGACCTGCCAACATTGCAGGTCGACGGCGTGCCAACGCTGCAGCAGTGCGGCTGTCCAGCGTTGCTCCCTAGAAGACAGCAGTGCGCACGCCTAAGTTGGATCTTACGTTTACGGTTCCTTACGTTTTCGTAAAATTACGACAATTTTTACGTTTACGAACGGTGGCCCTGATTCGGCCTTACGTTTACGGTCACCTCAAAACTTTTTTGAGCTGCCCAAGGGAAAAGAAATGACCAGAGTATTAGGGGGATTCATTGGGTAAACCATGAATCTGAATTCTCGATTCAGATCCAAGTTCGACAAGGGTGGTGTCAACCTAGCAGCTCGTTCGTAATCTATCGTGTTTCTCTCCTACTAACCAGGTCAACGCTGAATCTGAAACTTTCACGGACTCAAAAGGCCCTCCATACGTAGTAAAGTCGCTATTCTAGAAAAACACACGTCGGATTAGTAGTAAGGATCTAGTACACGTACATAATCCTGGAAAAAAAAGCTCTAAACTTTTTTTTCCTGCCCGCCTCATACTTACGCGTAATTTACGTTTTCGTTTACGTTTACGCGAAATTTACGTTTACGTGACCTCCAAAAACGTAAGAGCCCAACTTAGGCGCACGCTCGCAGGTGCGCGCAGACGATTGGCCCGACTTGCTTCGTTGTGCATCCGTCGGCTGTTGTCTGCGCCTGACGAGCCACATCGACTTCGGGATACCAGCCCGCAGTCGCCTTCGCCATCGCGACCTCGACGACGTTCGCGTGCCTCCGCAGAACTCGTCGAGCAGGTTACCCGGTCGACCCGGACACCACCAGGTGCTCCGGTCGACCACCAGTGCCTCCGGTCGACCACCAGGTGCCTCTGGTCGACCACAGCTCCCGTCGAGCTACCCCCTGGTCGACGGACCCCTTCCGTCGACCAGAACTGCTCCGTCGACCTCCCGGTCGAGCTGCAGGTCGACGGGATGCTTCGCGGACCTCCCGGTCGAACTGCAGGTCTACGGGATGCTCCGCTGACCTTCCGGCCGAACTGTAGGTCGTCAGACTGCTCCGTCGACCTCCCGGACGGCCCACCCGTCGCCCAGGCCAGTCAGTTGCAGCTGTCGAGCTCCCTGGTCGACAGCAACGCCACAGCGGTCCCCTGCAGCTCGACGTAGCCTGTCGAGCAGCTCTCCCACTGTGAACGGTCGGCTGCTACTCCCGTACATCCGACCAAGTCGTTGGCGTTGCCCAAGCGAGGGCGGGGCCAACACTCCATTCCCGTTAACACACCCCCCTCTCTTCCTCTCTCGCTCTCCACTCCCTTATCTTCGCCCAACACCCCCTCCACTCCCCCCACTTACCCACCAAACCTTCTCTTTCCTCGTCTCCCCTCCTCCCGCTTTCACCAGCTGGACAGTCACATTGACTCGGACGTGCCTTGCTTCATCCGGGAAGACCCAGGCAGGCTGCGGCAGATCATTCTGAACCTTGTGTCCAACGCAGTCGAGTCTCTCCCCTCTCTCCTCCCTCCTCCTTTCCTTCTCTTTCCGCACTCCCTCCTCTAGCTGCCACCAGCTGGACAGTCGCATTGACTCAGACGTGCCTTGCTCATTTGGGGAGACCCAGGGTTATCCAGTGCGATCCAGTGCGATCCAGTGCGATCCAGTGCGATGCAGTGCGATGCAGTGCGATCCAGTGTGATCCAGTGCCCCACGCCCCCTTCATTCCTCCCCATCTCCTCCCCCCACCACCACCAGCTGGACAGTCACAGTGGCTCAGACGTCCCCTGCTTCATTCGGGGAGACCCAGGGAGGCTGCGGCAGATCATTCTGAACCTTGTGTCTAACGCGATCAAGTTCCTCCCCACTCTTCTCCCTCCTCCTCCCCCCTTCCCGCTCCTGTTCCCACCAGCTGCACAACCACATTAACTCGGACGTGCCTTGCTTCATTCGGGGAGACCCGGGGAGACTGCGGCAGATCATTCTGAACCTTGTGTCTAACGCGATCAAGTTCACACAGACGTGAGTGCATGATTGAGTAGGATGTGCAACATCACACACGTGAATACCAGCTTTTTTTTTGGTGTTGTTGTTGTTTTTTTTTTTTTTTCCCAGACTTTGTTGAGGGGCTTTTTCATGGCTGCTTAGTTTTCCTGGATTTCAAATGAGAGGTGCTCGTTGGTTCAATTCGGCTATACCGATGAAGAAATGTCGCAAAATCTGACAGTAAGGGAGCTACCACTGCAGCAGCACTTGCTGCTAATCTTTTCCCCTCATCCTCCTCCCTTTAATCACACTTGTTACGCAGCAGTGGGGAGGTGCGGGTTTCTATTCGGCAATCTACCGAGGAAGAGATACAGCAAGTTATGGCTGCTAGAGGAGCTGCTTCTGCTGCAGCCACTCTCGCTGATAACGCTGGTGCCTCTGCTGTTGATGGTGCTTGTGCCGCTGCTACTGCCTCACCTGATACTAATGCTACCTCTGCTGCTGTTGGTGCGACTGCTGTGGAAGTGAAGGGAGGGGAGGGAGAGGAGGGAGTGAAAAAGAGTGTGGTGGGACAAGGAGTTAAAGAGAGTATGGTTGGTTGCTTGGAGGGCTTGGCGAAAAGGGGCTATGAGTCAAGAGGAGGGTATGAGTTGAGAGGGAGGGGCACAGGGCACGCAGCAGAGGAAGCTAAGGGAGGGAAGAGGGTTAGGTTCGACACATTTGATTCAGATTTTGGTGGCAAACGGGTAAAGACTTGTGGTTCGATGCATGAGCCGGGAAGAACTGAAGTTAAGAGTGACTGTGGGCTGCAGCAGCACCAACCACCACTGCAACAGCAGCAGCAGCAGCAACAGCAGCAGCAGCAGCAGCAGCAGCAGCAGCAGCAGCAGCATCAGCAACCACCACCGCAGCAGCAGCAGCAGCAGCAGCGGGCATGGCTGACATTCAGCGTCTCAGACACAGGCGTGGGCATAAGCAAGGACGCATCAGACCGGCTCTTCCGAGCCTTCATGCAAGGCGATCCCTCCACCTCCCGCCGATACGGCGGCACCGGGCTCGGACTTGCCATCTCTAAGTCCCTTGTCAGTCTCATGGGCGGCGACATTCGTCTGGTTAGCGCGGTGGGCGTGGGGTCGACGTTTTCGTTCACGGTGAATGTCGCGGTGTCGTCGGCTGCGCGGTGCGCGCTTAAGGAAGACTCTTTGCTAAGAGACGGGATGCTGCACCCGTTTGAGGAGCCTGAACGGGGTGTGAGGTGTACGCTGAGTGACTCTGCTGCTGGTGGTGGTTCTGCAGCTGCTGCTGGTTCTTCTGGTGCTGGGGATGGGGCTGGAAGGAGCATCAATCTAGCCGCAGGAGTTGCTAGCCACCACCACCACCCCCTCTCACTGGAGCAGGTCTTGAGCAAGCCGGCAAGACTGGGAGGGCCCGTGAGTGATGAGAGCGAAGGAAGAAGAGCAGGAGCAGGAGCGGGTGTGCCTAGCGAGACAGCTGGTTCTGCTGTAGCAAAGGCTGCTGGTAGTGGCTATCCTGGTATGAATCTACAACGGGAATTTGTTGCATTTCCTGCGAAAACAGCGGCAGTAGCCACAGCAGCAGGAGCAGTACCAGAGGAGAAGTCGAGATTGTCATGCGATGGAGCTTCGTCTGTGATGGGAGCAGCTTCTGTTAAGGAGAAACAACAACTATCAATAGAGCAGCAGCAGCAGCATCTTCACGAGAAGCTACATGGAAAACAGCTGCAGGCGCAGAGGCATGTGGCGTGTTCAGCCATGCCCAATGCCCCATTTAACAGCGCAAGTGCTGCATTGCATGTAGCACGAAGAGATTCCTTTCCAAAAGCGCTCCCAACTAAGCTACAAAGCTGGCAGAAACGGGACGAGCAGAGAGGAGAAGAGGATGAGTTGCTGTTGGTGAGAAGTTGCCATGAAGGTGAGGGGAGTGAGAGAGAAGATCACCGAACAGAGGGTTTTCCCAGGGATCAGCAGGAGGAGGTGAAGGGGAAGCACGAAGAGGAGGAGGAGGAGGAGAGGAAGCAGATGGAGGAGGAGGAAAAGGGGAAGCATGAAGTGGTGGAGGAGGAGAGGAGAAAGAAGCAACAGGAAGAGGAGAGGAGGGAGAGGCAACAGAGGGAGGTGGAGGGGGAGAGGAAGCGGCGGCGGCAGCGGCTGGCGTGTTTGATAGCAGAGGACAACACAGTGAACCAGATGGTCATAGAGAGGATGCTCAGAAGCCTGGGGGTTGTCAGTGACGTTGCTTCGAATGGCGCTGAGGCGGTGCGGGCGTGTGAGAGCAAGCAATACGACGTGGTGTTTATGGTGAGTGCGTGGGTTTTTATGGTTGGTGAGTCCAGGGGCAAATGCTCCGAAGCCTGGGGGTCGTCAGAGACATTGCTTCCAACGGGGCTGAGGCGGTGCGGGCGTGCGAGGGCAAGCAATACGACGCGGTGTTTATGGTAAGTGCACCTTGGTCCCGTTTTTTTTTTTTTTTTTTTTTTAAATGGAGAGGGAAAGGGAACAGCGTGCAAAGGAAGCAGCGGCGGCAGCGGCTGGCATGTCTAATAGCAGAGGATAACGCGGTGAACCAGATGGTGATAGAGAGGATGCTCAGAAGCCTGGGGGTTGTCAGTGACGTTGCTTCCAACGGGGCTGAGGCAGTGCGGGCATGCGAGGGCAAGCAGTATGACGTGGTCTTTATGGTGAGGTTGTTTTTTTTTTTTTTTTTTTTTTTTTGTGGTTCTCCCCGCTCCACCCTTCCTACTCTTCTCTCCCCACTCATACCCTCCTCCCTCCCATACCCTCTTCTCCCCACCCTCCCATCAATCTCAACCGTTCAGGACTGCCACATGCCTGTGATGGACGGCTTTGAGGCCACGGAGAAGATCCGACGGCTGTACTTGCACCGCACTCGAGGCAGGAGGAAGGAGATGCAGAGGGCGGAGGGTGATAAGGAACCGAAGGAGAAAGAGGAGCAAGAGGAGCAAGAGGAGCACGAGAAGCGCGAGGAGCAAGAGGAGCAGGAAAAGCAACAGGAGATGCAGATGGCTTGTGCTGAAACACCAGTTGCAGCAGGAGCAGGAGCAGGAGCAGGAGGAGCAGCAGCAGGAGCAGCAGTACCGGAGCCTGCCCCTTCAATAGTGTCACCGCCACCACCACCACCACAACCACCATCACTATCACCACTACAAGCATCATCACCACAGCCATCATCACTATCACCACAACCACCCCTATCATTGTCACAACCACCAGCATCTCCACCACCACCACCATCGCCATCATCTGGGACTCAAGGGTCACTACGCCGGCCATACATTGTTGCCCTCACTGCCAGTGCTCTGCTGCATGAACGGCTGCGATGCACCCAGGTACGCTTAAAAATAAGGTTTGATGCGTGTAAGAAACGTGCAACTAGGTAATCTGTTAAGTCATCCCTCTATAGATTCCTGTTAAGATTCATCCCTCCATACATTCTATCTTCTCCGCCTCCTGTCTTTCAGTTCCGCATGGACCACTTCCCATCGAAACCCCGCACGGCCAAGCAATTTGTGAGGATTCTGCAAAGTCAATGTATCTTTCCCTTTTCTCCCCCTATCTTTCAGGTTTATATGGACCACTTCCTGACAAAGCCCGTGTGGCCAAGCAAGCAAGCCAATGCTATACCCTTCCATTTCTCCCTTGTGTGAACAGGTCGGCATGGACCACTTCCTGACAAATCCCGTGAGGCCGAGCGAGCTTTGAGAGACCTCCAAAGTCAATGTTATACCCCCCCTTCTATCCCTCCCTTGTGTGAACAGGTCGGCATGGACCACTTCCTGACAAAGCCCGTGAGGCCAAGCGAGCTGTGAGAATTCTCCTAAGTCAACTAGCTACCTTCCTTGCCTCCCTCTGACTTACAGGTCGGCATGGACCACTTCCTGACGAAACCCGTGAGGCCAAGCGAGCTGTGAGACATCCGCAAACTCAATGCTATGCCCTTCCATTTCTCCCGTGTGTGAACAGGTCGGCATGGACCACTTCCTGACAAAGCCCGTGAGGCCAAGCGAGCTGGAGACGCTGCTGCGGCATGTAGAGCTGCGAGGGGTGATGCTCCAGCAGGAGGTGGCGCGGGCAAGGGGTAGGGAGGATAGAGTGGAAAGAGGGGATGGGGAGGAGGTGCGAGGGGTGATGCTTCAACAGGAGGTGGCACGGGCAAGGGGTAGGGAGGATAGAGTGGAAAGGGGGGATGGGGAGGGGGAGGAGGTGCAAGGGGTGATGCTCCAGCAGGAGGTGGCACGGGCAAGGGGTAGGGAGGATAGAGTGGAAAGGGGGGATGGGGAGGAGGTGCGAGGGGTGATGCTCCAGCAGGAGGTGGCACGGGCAAGGGTTAGGGAGGATAGAGTGGAAAGGGGGGATGGGGAGGGGGAGGAGGTACAAGGGGTGATGCTCCAGCAGGAGGTGGCACGGGCAAGGGGTAGGGAGGATAGAGTGGAAAGGGGGGATGGGGAGGGGGAGGAGGTGCGAGGGGTGATGCTCCAGCAGGAAGTGGCACGGGCAAGGGATAGGGAGGATAGAGTGGAAAGAGGGGATGGGGAGGAAAGGGGGGATAGGGTGGAGGTGCAAGGGGTGATGCTCCAGCAGGAGGTGTCACGAGCGAGGGATAGGGAGAATAGGGAGGATAGGGAGGAGCTGAAAGGGGTGGTCGTTCAGGAAGAGGTGGCGCGAAAGAGAGAAGAGGCTGGGATGCTAAGTGCAAGGGAAGAGAAGCGAGAGAATAGAGTGGTGGATGTGGAGGAGAGAGACGAGAGGGAGGAAAGGGAGGAGAGGGGGAAGAGGGAGGAGAGGGAGGAAAGGGAGGAACGGGAGGAGGAGGGGAAAGGCTTAATTGCGGTCCAAGGTGAGATTGGTTTGGTGGAGGATGCTGAGCTGGCACATGGCACTGGGTTGCGGGATGCTGAGCTGGCACATAGCCCAGAGGACATGCCGCAGCTGTCAAACAGCCGGGAAAAGGACGAGGAGGAAAGGGCGGGGCGGCGGGCCATCTCAAAAGGGTGGACAAGTGGGGGTTTGCGGAAGAAGAGGCATGTGGGGGAGGAGCTTACAAAGGAGAGTGCAGTTGATAATGGAGATGCACCTACACATGGTGATGCACGTGCTTCGGCAGATCGTTGCAACCTAAAAAGAGTTTCAGACACGTTAAATCAGTTAGATTGCACCATTACCACCACTGCAATAGGTCGGGCTAGGCTAGGAGTAAGTGGGGGCGGGCTGAAGAAGAATAGGGTGGATAGGGATGGGGAAAGCGTTGTAGGGGATATGAGGAAAGAAAGTTGTAGGAAGTAATTCAATGCTTATGGTTTTTGAATAGCCCCCTATATTTGTAGCTTGTACATAATTGCACAAGCCTTTTAGTTCATAAACTTTCTACTCATGGATTGTAGTGGTGTGATGCTTTGCAATATACTGGATTACAGTTTCTGAGATTAGTTATTCCAAGGGCATTGCCCCATTTCATGTCCTACACCTTTTCACGTTTGCATGTCATGCATAGTGAATCCTAGTTCTATCTATTCTCAACCTTCATAGCAGGCTTACTGTAGTGAGTGGTGAAGTTCCAAAAGGAGACAAGCACGTGGGGAAATTGGCCGTGCTGAGTGGGGCTTCGAGCCGCGCTCTCCACAAGTTGAGACGCCAAACCGTGTTTCAAGGTCAGCTGGAAACTTCTCCGGCCGCCTTCGACGGGATGCTAGCCAATCATCTACGTCTGATGGTTTCGGTTAGGACAATGTGGCTTGGCGATGGCCACGCTTATTGCCGCGCCGGCATCTGCTCAGGTTGAAATGGTCGGGCATGTGCGAACCGGAGATGGTTATGCGAGTATATTCGATGGATGGATGTGACCCATCTATTTGTGGAGATGCAGAACGGACGGTCAGTAGGGGAAGCGCGAATTGTTCACGGCACAAAAATGTGGTTGGTTCAATGTTGCAATTTCTTCTCTCCTCTTCGCCACCACCCCACACAATTGCCATCAGCATTGCACACTGCTTCAACCGCTTTGTGTTAGGTTGCTTGCGAGCAACCCGCGGTTTGGACCAGTTTTTGGTTAGCTGGGCTGATCACTGCTGCTGGTAAAGAGAGAAGCACGAACTGGTTACCGGCCGGAGCCAGGCCTGGGCATGGCGACCGGCGGGGCCCGACTTGACGCATGGTTTCCATGCTGGAAAGCCTTTGATCAGTAGCAGCGAAGGAGCAGATAAGCAGCAGCAGTGCAGTTGAGACGACGCCAACTAGAGCACCTTTCCACGCCTTACGCCGCCCTCGCTCCGTCACCTCGCTCTTATTCTCTTACGCACCTAAACTCGAGTCATTTCCGCCACATCAAGCGCGCTACACAAGTACGCTCACAAAATCCACCATTTTTTTAGGCGCCTCAAAAACGTGGTTCTACGCAAGGGCATTCACAAATGCCATAAACACAACAACCACAGCCTGAATTTCGAGTCGACTAAAAACCCAATAGTCGCCCGTCGATACGATGACCACTGCCTGATACGACCCCGTGTTTAGAAGGGCTCCCACCCAGCAACACACCTAATAGAGGCTCCCAGCACCCAGCAAGAAGTACAGGTTCTTTCCTCAGAAGTTCGCGCTAGTCGTAGTACTATATCCGCGTTGTAGTATGGGGCATTACTGCGAAAAACCGTCGCACCATTTCCCCTTCCTGCTCTCCCACTTCACGTGTTCCGTTGTAGGCGTCCTCCTTTTAGTCGTCTACTTCGCAACCCTTGGCCCGCCGCTTAAGCTCGTTCCAAAAGGCACCCGGCCCTTCGTGTCCGCCCCTTCCGCCGTTTCTTCCACATTCCCTTCCGCCCATGTAACTGAAACTGGTACGGAGGTGGACCGGGAGTGGCTAGAAGCGAGCGTGCAAATAACGGTGGTGCGGACAAAACGAGAAGCCGGGGCCTTGAGTGACGAAGACAAGTACGGAGACAGTGCGAAGCAGGGCGATGATGATACGCAGCAGCGCGATGATGATACGCAGCAGCGCGATGATGATACGCAGCAGCGCGATGATGATATGCAGCAGGGCTATGATGATACGCAGCAGAAGAAACTGGTGCAGCTGGCGAGGGAGGCGCAATGGGTGCAGGAGCAGGAGGTGTGGCATGGGGAAGAGTCGCAGGCTCTTCGGAATCAGGAACAGCGCGCGCAGGAACAGGAGCAGCGCGCGCGGCAAGAGGAGCAGCGCGCGCAGCAACAGGCGCAGAGCACGCAACGTATGGAACAGGACGCGCAGCGAAAGGAGCAGCGAACTCAGAAACAGGAGCAGAGCGCGAAACAAAAGGAGCAGCAAACCCAGCATCAGGAACTACAAGGCCTTCAGAAACACGAGCAGGAGCAGGAGCAGGGTTCTACAAAACAGTATCGCAGGGAACAAATCAAACCGAAGCGGAAACATCGGAAGAACGTCGATGTGTCCCCCAGCAGCAGTACTCGCCTAGACAGCTTCCCTGCCGCCTCTGAAGCTGCTGCCGGGGGGGACAAACGGAAACGCGCGGCCAGGGGAAGGGACGCGGGCGGGGAGAATAGTGGTAGAGCGGGCAGGGGCAAGAAGCCCACGACTGCGACGGGCGAGTCTGGTAGTAACACCACCACGACAGCCACCACCCCCGCTTCTCTCGCCTCCTCCAAGACGGGCTCTGCTAGCAACACCACCGCGACGGCCAACCCCGCCGCTTCACTCGACATCCCCGCCACGGTCGCCGCGAGGTCATCTGGTGCAGCAGATTCATATGGCGAAATGCGGGCCTCCGCGAGCGTATCCGCGGTCGCTGCGAAGTCATCTGGTGCAGCAGATTCATCTGGTGAAATGGGGGCCTCCGCGAGCGTTTCCGTGGGGGCTGCGTGCAAGGGGCGGGCGATCTACGTGTACCCGCTATCGGCGCGCTTCAACCAGTGGATGGTGGACGACTGCTTGGAGAGCCGCATCAAGGGGTTCTGCCTCACCAGCCGGCACGGCGGGTTGGGAACAAGGCTTGCGCCTTGGGACGACGTGGTAGAAGGCGGCAGAGGCAGCAGCGTCAGCAAATCGACTAGCGGCAACGGTAGCAGCAGCAGCAGCGGCGGCGGCGGCGGCGGCGGCGGTGGAAGCAGTGGTGTGATTAGCGATGCTGGTGGTGCTAGTGAGGGCTGGCGGAACCAGTGGTATTTAACCGAGAGCGCCAATAACGAGGAAATTTTCCACTCGCGTCTCCTGCAGCACCCCTGCCGAACCACGGACCCAGATTCGGCAGATTTCCTGTTCATCCCCGCGTACCTGGGCTGGTCGACCTGGTCGCTCGTGGAACACGGGCTGTTCGTAGATCGGGACCAGCCAGGAATCGAACTCGAGCGCTATCTTTTGGAAGAAAATCAAGATTTCAAGCGGCTGGTGGATCAAGGAAATCATGTACTGGTGCTCGGGCGGCCAATCTGGGACTTCAGAAGGGTAAAAGAGTGGGGAACGGATCTCTGGTGGCGACCGACCTTCGATAATGTCACACTCCTTACTGTAGAGGCCACTCGGGAGTGGTACGGGAGAGAGGTGTTTTCCATTCCTTACCCAACATCGTTTCATCCTGCAGGCTTGGCAGAGCTGCAGGATTGGATGAATCACGTTCGGGACCACGCCCGGCCGTTTCTGTACGCGTTTGTAGGCGGCAGGCGGGCGAAGGAGACGATAGAGGGTGCGCTGCGAGGAGCTCTACTGCAGGAATGCGAGATCGAACCGGGGAAATGCTTACTTCTGGAATGCTACGGTGCCGACGTGGAGGCGGTAACTGAAGCAGCAGCTGAGATAGGCCGGCAGTCGGCCAGTCGAAAAGCCAAGGCCGTAGCAGAAGCAGAAGAAGGAAAAGGAAAAGCATTAGCTGCGGATTATGTGGAGGAAGAGCCTCAGGTGGATCTTCCTGGATGCACTGATCCCAGGAGAGTTGCTGGTGCGATGCTGCAGGCGGAGTTTTGTCTCCAGCCAGTGGGAGACAGCCAAACCCGCCGATCCTTCTTCGACTCGATCATATCAGGCTGCATTCCTGTGGTGTTTTCTACTGATACTTTTGACAGCCAGTATCCGTGGTTTTTCGACCCGAAGCCGGAGGCAAGGCGCAAGATTGCGGTAATGGTGGACCCAGAAGAGGTGATTTCGGGCCGAGTGAAGATTGGGGAGGTGCTGAGGAAAATCTCAGTGGGAAGGAAAGAGGAGATGAGAAAAGAGATGCAGCTTCATGTTCCAAGGCTGTTGCTGAGAGACCATACAAAAGAGGGAGAGGAGAGAGAGGAGGGGCTTTTTGAAGATATGATTGACATGACCATTAATGGGTTGGTTGAGAGGAAAAGGATGAGAGAAGCTGGAAATGCTGGTGATTATTTCCCTTGGTTCAACAGCTAGTGACCTCCCAGCTTTTTAAGTTCTGAATTTCGTTGTGGAAGTTAGGCATGCTGACTTGTTGTTTTGTGCTCAACTTTGTTTCTTCTAGGATGTGTAGGACCTGTACTATAGCCGCTAACGCGTCTTCGTATATGCCCGTTCTGACAAACTGTCGGCCACAAGTTGAGCGGACAAATGTTGTCGAATCGGGCGAAAACTCATCATATCCCCCGGTCAGCACAGCAGCACTTCTGGCCAGATTGTATGTATGGTATTGTCTGTAACAGTTCGTTCTTGGTCCCAGCCGTTTCGTAAAGGCTTCGCAGCACCTTACCGATTCGCTGACTGGCAGTGTCTGTGCGCTACGCGCTGTTGCCAGCGCGCTGCGGGGACTGACCGGTCGAAAAGTTTCTGATTCGAAGGTTCTGCCGGGGAGGGGCAAACCAAAAAGGAGGTGGTCCCTAAGGGAAACGGAAGGAGGTCCCAAAGAAGAGTTTTCTAGGTTGGGCTTCATAGAAGTTGGTCTCACGGAATCACCGAGGGTGGTCCCTAAATCTGCTTTTCTTGAGAACAGTTCCAACAAAGCTCGTTTCTAGACTGATTTTGGTGTGCCTCATCATCCACCTCCTAGCTACCACCAGAGTATGACTTTATCTTAGCTCACGAAAATCTGTTGCGAGCGCATGAAGTCGGCCTGGAAGTGTCGTAGCTGAAGTTGGTTCATTGTGAAACTTCGATCGTACGATCAATTTAAGCCCTGCTATACGGTCGTGATTTTTATAGCTTCCTTTCTTTTCCATTTCCTACTACTTTCGTGCTTGGAATTAGTTCCTAGTTTAAGACTGTGTCAACATCGACGTGACGCGGTTCATGATGGGACATCATCGAGATCGAGTCTCAACGCTCTGCTTCCATTCTTCCTCAGCCACATGTTCCACAATCGGGGTGGTTCTACTGGTCCTCTACTTCGTAGCTCTCGGCCCTTCGTTAAAGTCACCAATCTCGAATTCGTCTTTCGATGCCAAGGAACTGCACAGAACCACGGAGGTATCGGAATCAACCGTTCGTGGAGACAAGGGGGGAGCAAGATTAAGCGACCTGGACCCGAAGGAGCCAAGGCAACAGAATCGGCAGGAGCAACAGAGGCAGCAGTATGAACAGGAGGAGCAGGATGCGAAGAATCGGCAGGATCAGAAGGAACAACAGAGTTCAAAGCAGGAAGCGGAGAATCAGCAGGATGTCAAGGATCAACAGCATAAGCAGGATCAAACGGCAACACCACGCTTGGAGACTCAAGAGGAACGGCAGAAGCGTGAACAAGAGCTTCTTCAGAAGCTGGGACGGAAAGACGATTCGAAAAGCTCACGCAGCAGCAGCAAAGGCACGCGAAGCACGAAGAGGAGTCGAAGCACCAGTGGGTTGAGAAACGAGGGTGACGCAAGGAGTTCCCGTGCGAGTAGCAGTCGCAAAGGCGGGGGTCTAGAATCGAAAGCGTGCGAGGGTCGGAAAGTGTACGTGTATGATTTACACTCGAAATTGAACAGCGTGCTGCTAGAAGACTGCCTGGACACCAACATCAAGGGTTTCTGCGCCACCAGCAGGCACGGCGGATTGGGAACCAGACTGCCTCCCTGGGACGACGCGTTTGAAGGGAAGGAGCCAAACAGCTTTGCTAGTAGCAGCAGGAGCAGAAGCCACAGAAGCAAAAGTAGCAGCAGCAATAAAAGCAGCATGGTGAAATCTGATGGTTCTCGACGGCTTCTTTCAATCAGCGGTAGCAGCAGCGGCAGCGGCGGCAGCAGGGTAGCGGAGAGCGAGGGTTGGAGAAACCAGTGGTATGCCACCGATAACTCCATGCTAACCCTCATCTTCCACTCGCGTCTCCTGCAGCACCCCTGCCGAACCTCCGACCCAGACTCGGCAGACTTCCTGTTCATCCCAGCGTACCTAGGCTGGTCGATCTGGTCGCTCGTGGAACACGGGCTATTTGAGAAGCGAGACGATCCGGTGATTGAGCTTGAGAGGTATTTACTCGAGGAGAATGCGGATTTTAAGAGGCTGGTGAATCGTGGCGACCACGTTCTCGTTCTCGGCCGTCCGATCTGGGACTTCAAGCGCGATGAGGATAAGCCCGAGGGGTGGGGGACTGATCTGTGGTGGCGACCGACTTTCAAGAATGTCACACTCCTTACAGTGGAGGCTCCTCCCGAGTGGTACGAGCGGGAGGTGTTCTCAGTTCCTTACCCGACCTGTTTTCATCCGGTAGGCTCGGCAGAGCTGCAGGGGTGGGTTCGGCATGTTCGGGAGCAGCCTCGGCCGTACCTGTACTCGTTTGTAGGCGGGAAGCGGGCGCACGCGACCTGGGAGGGCTCGCTAAGAGGGGTCTTGCTAAACGATTGTGAGAACGATCCTAATAGGTGCATCTTTTTAGAGTGTACTGTTGCTGATGCGGAGGCGGCAACTGCAGCAGCGGCGGAGATAGGCAGGCAGGCACTGAAACGAAAGGAGGAGGGGAACAGCAGGGAGGGGAAGGGGGAGGAAAATGAGATTGAGCCAGATTTTCCGCTGAGGGGGTGTATGGATCCCAGGAGAGTGGCTGGTGTGATGCTCCAGTCCGAATTCTGCCTGCAGCCTATCGGGGACAGCCTCACTAGAAGATCATTCTTTGACTCGATAATAGCAGGGTGCATCCCTGTAGTGTTTGCTCCAGGCACGTTTGATTATCAGTACCCCTGGTTCTTCGCTATTGGAGATGAGGCTCGGAGGAATGTGTCGGTGATGGTGCCTTCGGACGATGTGATTGGTCGGAAGGTTAGGATCGGGGAGGTGCTGGGGGGGATATCGGAGGAGAGGAAGAGGGAGATGAGGGAGGAGCTTTATAAGCATATTCCGAGGCTGCTTCTAAGGGATCATACGAGAGAGGGGAAGGTGGGGGAGGAGGGTATGTTTGAAGATTTAGTGGATAGGACGATTGAAGGGCTGATTGAGAGGAAGAAGATGAGGAAAGCTGGGGTTGCCAAGAGCTATTTCCCTTTGTAGAGTTGGTTGGGAAGTGGGGGAGTCCGAGGCCTAACCGCGAGTTCACAAAGGCGCTTCCGCCTTGTGACCACCAGAGGTGCTGTGTGCAGTTAGGCCTTGTTGACACTGGTTCTCGTGTTGCTTAGACTTGAGTGTACTGTTTACTTTGCTTTCTATATATCTCTGTTACTTCTTGGACTGGCCTTGTGGCCACTGTTGTTTGTGCTCAGACTGTGTGGTGACGTTGTGATCCACCCTGAGCTTCGTTTCTTGGACTGGTCTTGTGACCGTACTCGTTTGGTTCTGCTAGACACCCCTCACTTAGGCTATGGGGGTGTGTCAAATGTTGTAGCCTGTAGTGAGGTTTGTCTTAGGGGGTACAAAACTTAGGGTTAGCTATATGTACCCCAACCAACAACAATGCATCATCCATTTTCTCATTCTGACAGCCCATTCGGAGCGCATCTTGCATTGCAACACCCAGCCAACCAAATGAGCACAGCTTGAAAAAGGAAAGAAAGACTTGCAACTTGCGGTAAGGTATGTACAATGCATCTACTGAATGATGGCAGATGGTTGTTCTTTCCATCTCGGAACTGGTCTTTCTCGCTTCTGCGGGTGCTGGTGCGTCTAAGAGTGTGTTGCAAGGAAGCATCTGCCTACATGCACATCACCACAGCTGTTCCCAACTCCCTACCTCCAACACACGCTCCTCCTCCTGCTCCTTGTCCCTCCCCTCCCCCTCCCCGTCCATCCATCCTCACCCCTTGAAGCACAGAAACCAGCGGCTCAGTGCGCCACGTGTTGGTGGCGGGGCAGTAGGCGTGCTGCTGGGGGGGACGCAACCTACAAGCACCTATATACACATCACTACAGCCGTCCCCAGCTCCCCACCTCCAACCCGCCCCCCTGTTCCCCCTTCTGTACCTCCCCCTCCCCGTCCATCCATCCTAACCCCTTGAAGCACACCAACCAGCGGCTCCGTCCTCCAAGTGTTAGTCATGGGGCAGTAGGCGTGCTGCTGGGGGGGAAGGCGCCTGGCACGGCCGCAGCCGAAGAAGGAACGAGTGGCGGGGATCAAAAAGAGCTCTGAGTTTAGTGCAAAGAACCCCGCTGTGGGGTCGGCGAATCGCAGGGTGGTCACTCGGTGCCACACCCACGGCACAGCTTGCTTGCTGCCAGTATTGCCAGCGCTGCTGCTGCCAGGGTTGCCAGCGTTGGTGGTACTGCTACTGCCGCTGCTACTGCTGCCAGTATTGCCAGTGCTCCTGCTGCCACTGCTGGTGCTGCTGGCGGTGCTGCTGCTGTTGCCTCCGCTGCTGCTACTGGTGGCAGCGCTGCTGCTGTTGCTGCTGGAGGTGGGGCCACTACTGCTGCTGCTGTTGTTGCTGCTGCCGGCGGCGGAGCTTGTGGTGATGTGAGGGATGTCGAGGGCAGGCCCAAGGCGGAGGAGGGTGTTACCAGCCAGCATGTACAGCCGCCCATGCAGCACTGCCACCGGGCCTGCACTGCGCCGCTCCACCGGCAAACACACCCCGCTCATTGCCTCTGCTGCTGCTGCTGCGAGACTCAACCCACCCTCACGAGCAGAGGAGAGACTCGAAACCTGCTCGCCCCTAGCAGCTGCGGGGTTTGGATTCGGCATCGCCACGTTTGACGGATTCGAGACGTCTGAGGGGGTTGAGGCATCCAAGGGGGTTGAGACCCAAGCACCAGCAGAGGGGAGAAAGGCTCGGACTGGCCTGACAGGAGCGGCAGCACCCACCACTCCAGCTGGTACCTGCCAGTCCGGTTCCGACCCAAACCCTCCCACCACCACCAGCATCGCGTTATTCTCACTGCCGCTGCCGCATTCCCCCCTGCAGCTACCCTCGCTATTGTCACATCTGCCCCTGCTGCTCCTGTCACATCTAGCCCTGGTACTGTCACACCTGCTCCTGCTACTGTCACATCTGCTCCCCATGCTCTCACAGCTGCCAGCAGGCGAAGACACTAGCGCGCCCACACAGCCTCCTCTGGCCTCTGGCAGAGGCGGGAGAGGATGCCACGTGTCACTTGCCACGTCATACCACTCAGCGGCTGCCAGCTGGACACTGCCGGCCATAGCAGGAGCCGGGCTGTGACTCCCCCCTGCCACTAAAACTGCTCCCTTATTAACCGTGCACTCCATTTCCCCTGCCACCACAGATCTGCCAACTCTCTTGATTGACAAACCCGTGCTGTTCCTGCTGCTGCCGCCGCCGCCGCTGCCGCCGCCGCTGCCGCCGCCGCCGCCGCCGCCGCTGCTGCTGCTAATGTTGGAAGAGACAAGCAGAGGAGAAGGGAGGGAGGCAGATGCGAACGAAGCCCTAGGATCCGCCATGGAAGCACACTGGCGCCATTGGTTGGAAACGAGATCAAAGGAGAACACTCGGGACGTTGGGACAGGCCGATCGGATGGATAGGCAGTGGCGTCGAAGACCGTCCCTCCAATCAGAAAGAGACACGTGTCAGCAGCAGCCAGGCCGTATCCCGACAACCCGTAGGTGTTGAGCGTGGGGGTCATGGGGGGAATGCGCCGGCGGCGCCACGTGGGACTGCGTGATTGGTTGGACGAGGGTGAGGGACAAGTGTCGCCGCGCTGTGAGTGGTTGGATGAGGGACACGTGTCGCGCTGTGATTGGTGCAGCAGCCAGCCGCCCGAAACGGAGGGATCCCCGTGGAAGAGCGCGAGCAGCTGCTCCTGCCGTCCCTCGATTCGCCGGGCGGCAAAGAGGAGCAGCGAGGAGAAGAGCGCGCGCCATGTGCGGGAGACGGCCCTGCAGCTGGAATGGAGTGGAGAATGAAAGGAGAGAAGAGAAACATATGGGGGATGTAGGAAGAGGAAAAAAATGAAGAAAAGAGGAGCGGCGAGGAGAAGAGAGTGTGGGTGGCACATGCGGGAGACAGCCTTGCAGCTTGCACAGCAGAGGAGAGGAGGAGAGGGGACGAAATTGGAAACCGGAGTGGGGGAGAGGGTGGAGGAATTAAAGAGGAGAGGGGCGAGGAGGCAGAGGAGTGAGTGGCAGGGTAGGCTCCTCCTCTGCCTCCTCAGGAGAGGGGCGATCATCCTGTCTTCAAGAGAGGATGCTAAGGGAGGGCTGTGTACCTGTGGTGGCAGACGATCGACACGCGAGCGAGGCACTTGACTGCCACGTCATCGGGCAAGCCTGGAATCAGCTCCGTACGTTTCCCTGCATCTTGACCGTCGGTTCCGCAACAATTGATCTGACGGCTAGGATCCGAAACCTGCTCTCCATCCGTCCGGTCTAAATTCGTCGGCTTGCACGACCTGCTTGCGCAACCGCAGGTCGCGGCGGCGGCGGAGCCGGCGGGAGATGCGGCGGGATTGGCGGATAATTCTCCCGAAGTAGGGATGGCGGAAACGGGGATGGCGGGATGGCTGTTGCCTACGATAAACGCGACCATGACGGCGCGTGAAAGGCGCGCCGGAGAACGGCGCGCGGGGAAAAGGCGCGTGGGGAAAGACGCGGGGGAAGGCGCGAGGGGAGAGGGCGCGTGGGGGAAGGCGCGTGCGGAAAGTTAAAGAAAGGCGTGTGGAGAACGGAGAAGGCGGAACGGCGTGCGAGCAAGGGCAAAGGCGGAAAGGTGAAGGCGGAACGGCGTGCGAGAAAGAGCAAAGGCGGAAAGGTGAAGGCGGAAAGGCGGAGAACTCGGAGAGGCGATAACGGAACGCGAACGGGCTGCGTGCAGGAACGAGCGTCGAAGCGTCGAGAATGCGCAAACGGGAAGGCGACAAGGCACGAGGCGAACTCTGTTCCAATTTCTATGGCACGCTGTTTTTTCAACCGCGTTGCGATGCGAGGGAGATGCGACTAATTTTGAAACAGCCTCGCTGTCAATTTCTATGGTACGCTGATTCCACTTCAGCCGCGTTGCGAGGGAGACGCGAATTGGCGGGAGGGGGAGGGGAAGGGGACTGTGGAGGGGCATCACGCAAGCGCGAAGCGTCGACGAAACGTTTCGAACCCGTTACAAGGTCGAACGCGGCGGCATGAATAGTTATCGTCACCATCTACAAAAAGTGTACGCACTTCCCAAAAGCTTGAAAATCATTAACCCCCTCACGTTTGTCAGCCAATAAGTCGCTTGCTCGCCTTATCTGCAAGCTAGTCTGTTCATGGGTGTAGTGTCAATGTCTCCTCCGTCAAGATAAACCCTCAGAAGTCCTCCGCCACCATATTTCACGGCTAACACGAAGTTTGTCAGTTCAGTTAGTCTGTTTACGTCATAGTGTTGCCATATCAATGTCCCCATCGTCTTGCATGGCCATCCGGCATCTGCGGCTCGAGAAACCCCCGAAACTGTAGGACTCGAGTGGTCGGTGATGGGTATCCACGGTCAGTGTCTCTCCACCGCCTTGCATGGGCGATGGGCTCAAGAGTTTTGGTTGTCATATCAATGCCTCCACCTTTTGGCATGACCATCCGGCATCTGCGGCTCGAGAAACCCCCGAAACTGTTGGACTCGAGCGGGTGGCGGGAACACGGGATAGGTGGGATGGATGGCAAAAGTGAGATTGGTAAGATGGTGGGAGAGGACAATGATCCAGGTAGTGTGGCATGCAGCAAGGTGTTGTGAGAAGAATGACATATGGACTTTCCAAGCAACACTCCCTACCTGCAAGCCGTCTGCACTCCATCTCGCCCCATACCCTTCACTCCCCCGCACTTCAAACACCGGCAGATCGTGTGGCAGGGCATGCACGTTCATCCACGTGGCACCGTCTAACAGGCTGGTGAGACAATGCAAGGCGTGCTGGTTCTTCCTTGCATCTGAAGGGGAAGGCACGGGGTGAGTACCAGTGGAGGTGTGGTAAGTGGTACGGTAGATGTGTCCGAGAGCTGGGAGGCTATGCGGCAGAGCACGCATGTTCATCCAGGTGGCACCGTCTAACAGGCTGGTGAGACAATGCAAGGCTGTGATAGAGTCAGTTGATACTTGACAGAAGGGAGGGTGGTGACTCAAAAAGTGGTGAGGGACAGGCAAAATAATGCACAAACCTGGTCCAGAGGCGTCGCCCCAGAATCTGTCTCTCCCCCGGTGGCAGTGTTTTGAGAGAGCCCTCGCACCCACTGTCAACGGCTGCATGTGTGCTCGTGGGTGGGGCTTTAACTGTGCTGGCTGTGGCTGTCATGCAACCTGGTCTAGGTCTACACTCAAAGCACCAACCCACCTCATCCGAATTTTATGCACCAACTGACCTGGTCCAGAGGCGTCGCCCCAGAAGTTGTCTCTCCCCCGGTGGCAGTGTTTTGACAGAGCCCTCGCACCCACTGTCAACGGCTGCATGTGTGCTCGCGGGTGGGGCTTTAACTGTGCTGGCTGTGGCTGTCATGCAACCTGGTCTAGGTCTACACTCAAAGCACCAACCCACCTCATCCGAATTTTATGCACCAACTGACCTGGTCCAGAGGCGTCGCCCCAGAAGTTGTCTCTCCCCCGGTGCCAGTGTTTTGACAGAGCCCTCGCACCCACTGTCAACGGCTGCACGTGCGCTCGTGGGTGAGGCTTCAGAAGTCCTGGCTGTGGCTGTGTGTGATACGAACTAGCTGGCGGTTCCGTGCTAGCTAGTTGACACTGAATACTTTCAGGTGGGAATGAGCCAAGCAAACGCTCACTCTGTCCTGCTCCTCCCTCTCCTTCTGCTCCTCCTGCTTCCCCTGCCCCTCCTTCTCCTCCTCTGCAAGCACACGGCACCATCAAAATTGCCTGTGCATGCAACTCTAGAGCAGTTTCGCGAGTGCAAGTGACATCCCACGGCCCTTTATACTGGTCTGAAACACGTCTGCATGGCCCACTGCATGCCTCACTGCATTCACATCTGCATGCACCTTCATACACCCAACTCCTGTTGAATCGAACCGTTTCACACCACATTTCTGTATTGCCTTGGCAACTGCAACACACTGCACATGCACTGAATCTGGACAGCTGCTCCTGCTGCTCCTGCTGCCGCTTCTCCTGTTTCTCCTGCTCCTCCTGCTCCTGCTGCCCCTGCCGCTCCTGTTCCTCCTCCTGCTGCTCCTGTGCTACCTTTCCTTGCCCACTCTGCTCCCCTTGCTTCTCCCGCTCATCATGTCTCTGCACTCTCTGCCTCTGCTCTCTCTGCCGTTGCTTCTTCTCCTTCCTCGCCTTCACACCCCCTTTCACAGGCCGCTGAAACGACGCTATAAGTGCGGCGCGAAAGGGAGGGAAAGCAGTCAGCATACTCCCCTCAGTCACTCGCATCCCCACCAATCGGCTCATGCCACGTGGACCCATGGCCTGCCAGGGGTGAGCGTGGGAAAATATGTGTGAGAGACGGGAAGGAGGGTGCAGAAACAGGGCATTGGAACGAGAGGGTGTGGAGTGGCAGGGAAGGGAGCGGGGGGTTGGAAGAGGACATGTAGACGACTTTTGAGGCGGCTCAAAAGAGGACAGGAAGCATATGGTAAAGGGATCAAGGACGACTAGACAGGCCTTTACTGTGTGTGATAAGTCGATTCTTGAGTCGACTCAAAAAACGACTTATCATGAGTGGAGGGTTGGAAGAGGACAGGAAGCATATGGTAAAGGGATCAAGGGCGACTAGATAGGCCTTTACTACAGTACAGCCGCGCTTAAGTCCGAAGCTTACAATAAGGATTCAGGCAGTTTTTGGGCCTCAAGAATCGCTTAAAGCGACGGTGCACATTTGCCACCCGAAACCCTAAACCCTGGCAAACAGTTACTGCAGAGGGAAACCCGAAATCCATGTTTTCGCCAGCCAACAGCTTTGCGCTGGCAAGCCTGGTTCAGAACAAAAACTTCTGAACCTCCGCTTGTCAAATCTAGACCCTCGTTTTAAGAACGGAGACTTACAATGAGGATTCGCTGGATAAGCGAAGCCACTTCGGACTGCAGCTGTGATTTTACATCAGCTTGACATCTGGCCACGTCAGCTTGAGATCTGGCCACCTCAGCTTGGCACCCATCCACGTCAGCAGACCTGCATGGCTCCAGCCTTAGTGCAAGCACACCAGCTCGATGTTCTTTCTCCTCTGAGTAGAACCGGCGATACACTGCCAGCCCTGCAAAAGGGAAGGAAAAAAAACGAGATTAAACCAGGAATTGGATTATAGCTGTTTTAGTCCCTATTCCTTTCACATTCCTTTCATGTCTGTCGCACTTTCCTCTCTCATTCCTTGGACTTTCCACTCACCCTCTTCCCACATTCCTTGGACTTCCCTTGCACCTTCATCTCACATTCCTCTCACTTTTCTCCCACCTCCTCGCACCTTCCTCCAGTGTCTCAACTCCGGGCAGCACCGCAGAGAGCCCTTCAGATGCGAGCATGGGGACAAAGGAGGGGTATGCCTGCACGGACTGCAGATGGTGGCAGGTGTGGCAGGGGGAGGGAGCAGGGGATGGGGAGGGGGAGAGGGAGGGGGAGCGGGGGGAGGGGAGGGAAGCGCATCACAGATAGATAAGCAGCCTTCAGGTGCGAGCATGTGGGGAAAGGAAGGGTAGACTGGAAAAGGCTAGGTTATGGCAGAAGTGAAGAGTGGGAGCTCTGAGAGGGTGAGGAGGAGGCAGTTGTGGAATTTTTTCTAGGGCCCTTAAAAATTGTCTCAATACAGGAAGTGAGAAGCATTGACCTGTGGCATACCTGAACGGCGAGTGTAAGGGTACTGTTGAATGTGATAAGATCACCTGCAATGATGCTGGGTGGGGCGGGAGGAAAGGGGAGGACGAGGAGAGATCAGTGCGATGCTATTTCGTGAGGGTCAGTGGGAGGCTGGCTGAAATGCGACCAGTAGCAGAATTATTAGCCTAGCCCGGGTCTCCTTTGTTCATTGACGATAGCGATGGAAGGCAAACAGTGGCCGAGAAACCGAGAAACAGTTGACGATGCAGCACAAGGCGAGAAACCGTCATGCTGTATCGCCTGTGCTGCATCCGTCATGCCCTACCTGCTGTACGGCGGCAAGTTGCATCGCCCCTCCACCCTCTTGACTCCCTCTGCAGTGCATCCAGGAAGAAAGGGAGGGGAGTGAAAGATAGGAACGACAGGGACACGGATAGGAGGCAAAGGAATAAAGTTCTTTTCCTTCCCCGGCCTGCAATAAAGACCCCCCTTTGAGAAAATTTCTCCCTCTGCCAGCCCTCTCACCCCTCCCACCCTCCCACCCAACCAGAGACCTACAGTGCCTTCCTAAAGCAACGATTTGATCGAACAAAAGTTTTCCCATTCGTCCATCATGCCCCCTGCCTGCGCCCCGTGCACCGTTCCCGTCAACCATGCATTTTGAGCATCACTCCTTCCCTCCAACCACTAACAGTCACGTTCCTCCTTCCTTCTTCCAATCACTACCCCTCTCCACACCCCACCCTCTCTACAGCCCTTTTTTCTGCTCATCCCGCCCGCCTATCTCTCCTCCCTTCACCCGCTCCCTTCCCCCACTTCCCCTCCCACCCCCTTCCCCTCGCCCTCCCTTACCCCTCCCTCCCACCTTCCCCCTTTCCCCCTTTCCCCCAACCTGCGAGCAGTTTCAGGTATTCCGCCTGCACATGCAGCTGATGCGTCCTCCGCTCCCCACTTCTCCGCTCCCCCACATTCCCCACCATCCGCTCCCCCGCCAACGGCTCCCCAACCATCCGCTCCCCCGCCAACGGCTCCCCAACCATCCGCTCCCCCGCCAACGGCTCCCCAACCATCCGCTCCCCCACCAACTGCTCCCCCACCATCCGCTCCCCCGCCAACTGCTCCCCCCTATGCCCCATATCCTTAATCTCTGCAAATTCCTCAATCTCCTTCGATGGACCAAAGTCATTGCTGTACTCGTTAGAAAGCTCCTCTATAAGCTCTAGAAGCCGGCCACCAGCGTCCATGACCGTCCCATGCCACCGATCCACCTCCTCCCCTCGCCGCCCCTCCTTCTCCTCCATTCCCTGGCAGGCCAGCATGGCTGACGGCAAGCATCCTGTGTGACAATAGTGAAGGAGCGCGGCTGCTACGTGCTTGTAAAGGGGGCGACGCGGTACACCACGAAAGGAAACAGGAGGGAGGCGAAAGAGAGAAATACCTTCATCTTCCTCTCTCTCTTTCTCACAAGGTAAGTTCTTCCCTCCCTCTCCCTCCTCTTCTCTTTCCCCCACTGCTTTTCCCTCCCGTTTCCCCCCTCCTTCCCCCTCGCTTCTGCCCTCCCCGTTCCCTGGCTGAACCCCGTCTTCCTCTTCCTCCTCTCCTTCGAGAACAGCCTTGTACACGTCAGAAGGAAACAACGGGTTTGCCACGTGTCCTGCCCTTATTGCCTCTGACAGGGGACTATCTAGCGGGGTTGGCGCCCCATCTGTCAAGGTAAGTGCAAGGGTTTTTTTTGAAACTGAATCAGATTCGCGCATGGAGATAAGGACGGAGCGCAAGAGCGCTGCTAGAATGGCGCGCTGCTTTTGGCGAGAAGTCGCCACCTGACGCCATTTTCGCGCTGCCCAGTAAGAAAGCTCTAAGGTAGCATGGCCACGTGGAAAGGCCGCGACACGACTTGATTGGTGCATGACAGGAAAGTCGGCGCAACGATGGGAAGCATGAAACGTCAACAACGTGTCCTTCCAGCAGTTCTCAAGGTTAGCCGCCGAACGCGCAAAACCACAACTAATGACGGTTTATGTCTGGTTGGAGTGGACTAACAACGTATGAAATTTAAGATGTGTGTGTCGGTTTTGTAAGGTGCCTCTAACGAAACAGCTGCAATTGTGTATTATGATTTTGCCCTTTTCTTGCAGGGCTATGGGGGGACTAGCTGGATTGCTGCCCGACATTTCAACTGGTTGGGAAATCACTGGGAGAGGTTAAAAATCCTAATATGACTATATTAAGGGTGTGGAAGAATCTTCGGATGTTTGACAAACACCTTCATTGGAATGCCTCGTTTATTCTTTGTTTCCGACAGTAGCACCTTCGTATAGCGGAGTCATTTACAGGTTTACCTGCTACGCATTTGTACCCTTTAATTTACACCTCGTGTTAAAGAATAGCCCACCATCCTACTTTCAGGTTATTGGCTAGGATTCCGCTGCAAGCACCAGAGTGTCTGAGCCACAAATACGATGGGGATGGAAATCCTTGGGAGAGGACTTCTATGATTAGAATTTTCGAAGGGCGTGGAAGAACATTCGGATGTTCAACAAACACCTTCATTCAAATACTCTCATTTTAGCTTTGTTCTTGACAGTAGCACCTTTGTATAGCGGAGTCATTTAGAAGATTACCTGCGACGAAATTGTACCCTGTAAATTACACCTTTTGTGAAAGAGTGCTCACCGTCCTTACAGTATCAGGTTCTTGGCTATGATTCCGCTGCAAGCACCAGCGTGTCTGAGCCACCAACTTGTAAAATCTGTTTGTAAAGTGCTCCTCCGCAAATACGATGGGGTTGGGAAATTTTTGGGAGAGGTAATTCCATGCTGGGGATTTTGAAGGGCGTGGAAGAATCTTGGGGTGTACGACAAATACCTCGTTCAGCTTTGTTCTTGACAGTAGGACCTTCGTTTAGCGGAATATTTGTGAGAATACCCGTGACGAGCTTGTACCGTGTGAATGACACCTCCTGTCAGGGAAAAACCCACCGTCATCATCAGGTTCTTTGCGAAATGAGTCCACTACAAGCACCACATTACCTGATCCACGAACCTGTAATATCCGTTGGTGAAGTGCTACTCCACGAATTCGCTGAACGGCGGGAAATCCCTGGGGGAGGTTAAACTCTAGGATTGAAACAATTTGAGGGGGTGGAGAAGTTTTCGGATGTTCGACAGTTTCCGTCGTTAAAATACCTCGATATAGCTTTGTTTTCGACTGTAGAACCTTCGTATAGCGGAGTCGTTTAGAAGATTAGCCATCACGAACTTGTACCCCCTCAATTAGACCTGCTTTAAAAGCATTGCCCACCGTCATTATGGGGCGGGGCTCTTCCGCTGCAAGCACCACCATATCTGATCCGCGAACCTGACTTCTATCTAGACGACAGTCTGTCCGTATGCCAATCAGCGAGGTCGTATGAGTATGCCACATCAGCCGCTTCCCAGGCTCCTGGATGTTCTGCCAGCCACGTAGCATGAACTTGCTCCCTGCTCATTGTCACCAACATCTCGCAGCCACAACGAACACGTTGACTGCACGCATCCGCGTCCACAAAGCACTTTTGCGAGAACGGCGAACGAAACTTAATTCAAAAATCGACGTGCCATACTATAATTCGCCAAAAACATTTACGTAACGATTTCGCTTGCTTCGTTACACATAAGAAGTTCGCTCATCCGGGGTTTCTTCCAACCCTCCAGATTCAGGAATTCTGAGCTTCGAGCTATGCGAAACCTACGACTCCTTTTCCGACAATACCTAGGTCTCTTGCAGGACAACACGCTTTTCGTTCGGAACCTAATTGTCTCCGCAGCTCGGTCGACGGAACGGTAGCTTAGCTCTCTCGGGCCGGTAATCGGAGGTCGGCCTCCTGTATGTCTCTGAGCTGAGCTGCGTTTCAGACCTTGCAACTCCAATTTAAGCTGCAACAGCGTCGTGCCTCCTTGCGTTCAGCATTTTAGCTTCACCCTCGGCCGCTGCGCTTGCAGCTCTATCCTCGGACTTTTAGCCTCAGCTGTTAGGCCGAGAAACCCCCATTACACGAGTTAATGTGATTGGTCATTCACTTCTCGAAATTATATAGGCCTGGTTGGATTTCATAGGCCCTCTTTGGTCACCCTCGCACACTGTACAACCGAGCCTCACGTCGTCTCCGGTTGTGTAATATCTGATACAAGCCTCGACGTAGTGTCGCCAGTACCGTTACCTGCATTGTTTCCCCCGGTAAACAGCCATGGCGTCATCACCCCACCTCCTGTCCTCCAGCCACAGCTCTCTCTTTCTCCATCCCCACGCTTCCCCACTCGCCCGACCTTTCCCCACCACCTCCCCCTCTCCGGGCCTCCGCTTTTCCCCGCTTCCCGCACGTCCCCGCGCGGCCGTTACGTCACGACCTGCGCAAACCACCACAGGGGGAGGGGGAAGCTCCTCCCCGCGTCCCGGCGGTTCCCGGGAGATGCGCGGTTAGGCGGCAATGGCAACGGCAATGGCTCCGCAGCGCGGAACGGCAACGGGAATGGCTCGGCGCGCAGCGGGAGTGGAAACGGTTCGGCGCGCAGTGGGAGTGGAAATGGCTCGGCGCGCAGCAGAAACGTTAACGGTAACGGTAACGGAACGATGCGCAGTGGAAACGGAGCCGCGACGGGTCCCGCGACGCGCGCTCTGCGACGAATCAGCAGCCGCATGAACAGCAGCAGCGCTGACGTGGCAATGAAGCCCTTGTCTTTGCGGACAACGGTGGTTGGCGACTCGGGATTCCTGCCCAATCAGCTTGCAGGCGACCCGTCCGGAGGCGAAATGCGGGCAATGGAGCAGCTGGAGCTGGAGCGAGGCGTGTGTAACCCGTTCAAGAAATACACGCCGGAAATGGTGAGTCAACGCTGGTCAACGCTGGTCAACGTGAATGGAGCTTTTCCATAGTAGGTTGCCACGATAACGGCCTAGGAGAAGGAGCAGGGATGCATTTTAGGTAGCAGGGGCGGAGGAGGAGAGGGAAGTGAGGGAGGAGAAGGGAAAGGAGAGGTATTCCAGACAGGAAGGTGAGGAGGGAGGATGGGAGGGAGGAGAGAGGATGCGAGGAGAGTGAAGAATGAAGAGGAAATGCGGTGAGAGGAGACGGAGAGGGGAGGAAAGCGCGTGGGAAGAGAGGAGAGGGTATCGAGGGGAAAGGGGAGGATGTCAGTCTCCTCCTTTCTCCCATGCCCCACGCCCCACGCCTCCCCTGCACCACGTTTTACCATGTCCCGTTCGCCCTTCCCTTCCCCCGTGCCCACTCCCCGCCCCCACCCCACCCTTCCCCCCCCGTCCTCGCAGGTGCGGGCGCGTGCTTTCAGTTCCCCCTCCGCCTTCTTAGGCATCCACCTAAGAGGCACGGAAATCGTGTGGGAGCTGACCATGTTCTTCCTCTCCATTCCCCGCACCCCACCCCACCCCTCCCCCATCCTTCTCCTGCCCCAGGTGCGCGCACGTGCCTTCAGCTCACCTTCGGCCTTCTTAGGCATCGTGCCGAGAGGCACAGAAATCGTGTGGGAGCTCACCATGTTCTTCCTCTCGCTCTCCTATGACAAGCTCATGGGACTGGACGACCACAACTCACCCACCGTCCTCTTCCCTCCCTCCTGTTCCCGCCTTTCCCCACCCACCACATTCCATTCCCGTCCTTTTCCTGCTCCCCGCCTCTCCCCCTCGCGCCCCACCTCCCCCCTTCCCCCTACCCTCGCAGGTGCGAGCGCGTGCCTTCAGCTCGCCCTCCGCCTTCTTAGGAATACTCCTGCGCGGAACAGAAATCGTGTGGGAGCTCACCATGTTCTTCCTCTCGCTCTCCCTCCCCGTCCCCGTCCTTTCCACCCCGCCTTCCCCCACATTCCCTTCCCTCCCAGGTGCGAGCACGGGCGTTCAGTTCCCCATCCGCCTTCTTAGGAATCCTGCTGCGCGGAACGGAGATCGTGTGGGAGCTCACCATGTTCTTCCTCTCGCTCTCCTACGATAAACTTTTTTTCCACCGCCAACGCACTCCCCACCTCTCCTGTGCACCTCTCTCCAGGTGCGAGCGCGCGCCTTCAGTTCCCCCTCAGCGTTTTTAGGCATCCTCCTGCGGGGCACGGAGATCGTGTGGGAGCTGACCATGTTCTTCCTCTCGCTCTCCTACGACAAGCTCATGGGCCTGGACGACCGCAACGTGCCCACGCGCGCCGCGCAGCTGCGCCGCCTGCTGTGCCGCCTGGGCCCGTCGTTCATCAAGTCAGGACAGGTGCTGGCCAACCGACCGGATATCATCAGAGAGGATTACATGAACGAGCTCTGCATTCTTCAGGACGACGTGCCTGCCTTCCCCACTCAGGTGAGTCTGCCTGCCCCCACGCAGTTCACGCAGGTTGCAGGTGAAAGCTGTCTGCTGTGCCGCCTGGGCCCGTCGTTCATCAAGTTGGGGCAGGTGCTGGCGAACCGGCCAGATATCATCAGAGAGGACTATATGAACGAGCTCTGCATTCTTCAGGACGACGTCCCTGCCTTCCCCACTCAGGTGAGTCTGCCTGCCCCAGGGTGCAGGTGAAAGCTGCCTGCTGTGGCGCCTGGGCCCGTCGTTCATCAAGTCGGGGCAGGTGCTGGCGAACCGGCTGGATACAATCCGAGAGCATTACATAAACGAGCTCTGCATCTTGCAGGACGACGTGCCTGCCTTCCCCACGCAGGTGAGGGGGCTCAAATGAAACCCTGCTGCTGCGGGAACGGGTTGCAAGCTGCAATGCAAGCTGCTGTACAATCTGCTGTGCAAGCTGGCATGTAAACTGCCATCATCCCTCCCTCCTTCCCCATCAGGCCACCCTCCTACCAACAGCTCCTTTTCCTTCCTAGCACTCCTTAAGAATCGTTCGCCATCCGTTTCCCCCTAATTTTCTCCCCCTTGCCCCTTCTTCTTCCCCCCAGGAAGCGTTTGCCATAATCGAGGCCAACATGGGGGTGCCTCTGGAGGAGACCTTCAGCGCCATCTCTCCCGAGCCTGTTGCCGCGGCTAGCCTCGGGCAGGTCTACCGAGCCAGGCTGAGAGCCTCGGGAGCCGAGGTGGCAGTCAAGGTGAGGGCGTGGCAGCTGAGGTTGAAAGGGATGGGCGGTCAAGGTGAGAATGACTTGGCAGTCAAGGGTCACAATGACGTGGCAGTCAGGGTAGTCTACTGGGACCTCTCACAATGAGCCGGTAATCTACCCTGAGAGGTTCAGAATACTCTACTGGGACCTCTTCTCAATGTGCACCCTGCGCCTTTCCCACCCTCCACATGCCCATTCCGTGTGCTATAGTCTCCCTCTTCCCCGTTCCCCACTTTCCTCCCCATTCATTTCCCAACCCTTCCCTCCCCCAGGTGCTGCGGCCGGGGATCGAGCCAGTGATCTACCGCGACCTCTTCCTGTTCCGCACGCTCGCGTCCTTCCTGAACGGCATCTCCATTCAGAAGCTCGGGTGCAATGCGGAGCTCATCGTCGACGAGTTCGGGGAGAAGCTTCTAGAAGAGCTGGACTACCGCCAGGAGGCGCGCAACATCCAGAGCTTCTACGAGAACTTCTTGGGTGATCCGACGGTCAAGATCCCGCTGTGCTATTCGGAATTGAGTGGAGAACGGGTGCTGGTGATGGAGTGGATTGACGGCATTCGCTGCACCGACCCCCAGGTGTGTTTTGAGAGGGGCAGGTGCAGGGGAGCAGGGGATGGGGTGGGAAGGTGGGTGGGAAAGAAGGAGAAGCTGCTGGAGGAGCTGGACTACCGCCAGGAGGCGCGCAACATCCAGAGCTTCTACGAGAATTTTCTCGGCGATCCGACGGTCAAGATTCCGCTGTGTTATTCGGAATTGAGTGGAGAACGGGTGCTGGTGATGGAGTGGATTGACGGGCATTCGCTGCACCGACCCCCAGACGTGATATGAGGAGGGAGGATGGGGGTTTACGGGCGGGGTAAGGAAGGAGTGGGGGTTGGCGGGGAGAGAGGGAGAGAGTGCTGGTGATGGTACATGGAGTGGATTGATGGCATTCGCTGCACCGACCCCCAGGTGCGGGATAGGAGGGATCGAGAGGGTGGAGTCAGGGGGTTAAGGGATGGGATTGTGGTGGGGTTGGGGAGGGGTTTATAAAAAGCACGTTTATTATCTCAACCTACACCTGAAGCTCACGCCCGCACCGCGTCTTTGCCTGTGCCCTTCCCCACGCCAGGCCATCTGAGCAGCGGGCCTGGGGGCGTCAGCGCTGCTCTCCGTCAGCTGCTAGAGTTCTGCGCAGTCTCATCCCATGTATTCCCTCCGATCCCGTGAATCCCTCTCTTTTTTAAACACCAGGCCATCCGAGCAGCGGGCATAGATACGGAGGTGTTCCTCACAGTGGGGATCAGCGCCGCCATCCGCCAGCTGCTCGATCCCCTCCCATTCATATGTGTGTTCTTCCCTCCCATCCTGTGAATCCCTCTTTTATCAACACCAGGCCATCCGAGCAGCGGGCATAGACACGGAGGTGTTCCTCACAGTGGGCGTCAGCGCTGCTCTCCGCCAGCTGCTAGAGTTCGGCCTCTTCCATGGCGACCCGCATCCAGGTGTGTGATGTGGTGGGGTGTGGTGGGGTACGGTGAGGTTTGGTGGGGTGGGGTGCGTTGCGGTGCTGCAAAGTGCAGTGTGTGGTGGTGGTTGCATAATTTATCGGCTAGGGGCTCTTGACTTCCCCTTGTCCCCTCCCCCCCCCCCCTCCCCCCTCCCCCTCCCCCCCCCTCCCTCTCTTCCATCCCCTCCCCACTCCCCCTCCACCACTCCAGGCAACATATTCGCAATGAGGGATGGGCGCATAGCCTACGTGGACTTTGGCAACGTGGCGGAGCTGAGCCAGTACAACAAGGAGATCCTCATAGACGCCATCGTGCATGCTGTCAACCCTGAGGAGGAGTACTATGCCAAAATTGCTCCAGATTTCACCCACCAAGCGACTTTCACTCCCTCTTTCCTCCCTTCACTCCCTCTCCTCCCTCTCCTCCCGTCCCTCCCCTGCCCCGCCCCTTCTCAGGAAACATCTTTGCCATGAGGGACGGGCGCATAGCCTACGTGGACTTTGGCAACGTGGCGGAGCTGAGCCAGTACAACAAGGAGATCCTCATAGACGCCATCGTGCATGCCGTGAATGAAGATTACGTTGAAATGGCCGGGGACTTCACAAGGCTGGGGTTCCTGGCTCCTGGCACGGATGTTACTCCCATTGTGCCGGCGCTGGAGGCGATCTGGCAGAACAGCACGGGGCAGAGCCTGGCGGATTTCAACTTCCGCACCGTCACACGTGAGTGGGGAAGAGTGCGTTGGTAGGTACCCGCATCCTCATCGACGCCATCGTGCATGCTGTCAATGAAGACTACGTCGAGATGGCCGGGGACTTCACCCGCCTGGGCTTCCTGGCGCCCGGCACGGACGTGACTCCGATCGTCCCAGCATTGGAGGCCATCTGGCAGAACAGCACGGGGCAGAGCCTGGCAGACTTTAACTTCCGCACTGTTACACGTGAGTTGGGAGAGGGAGATGAGGAGGATGGGGAAGGGGAAGGGAGAGATGAGGGGAGGGGGAGAATTGAGTAGTGTGTGTGTGTGGTGTGCATTCGCTGAAACCACACCCCTGCCCCCAACCCACACCCAGCAGGTGTCCACATTCCCCATCCACATCCCCAAGAGCTTCTCCCTTGCCCTTCGAATGTTTCACCCATCCCCCACCCTATCCCCTTCCACCCCCTTCTACCCATTCCCACCCATCCCCATCCCTCCCATCGTCCAGGCAAGTTCATCCAGCTGGTGTACAACTTCCCCATCCGCATTCCTGAGCGCTTCTCTTCTCCCTGGTGTTTCAACTGTCTCCTAACCCAACCCATCCACAACACACCCCACCCCACCCAACCCAACCACTTTCAACCCCACCCCTTTGCACCGCGCAGGCAAGTTCAACCAGCTGGTCTACAACTTCCCCATCCGCATCCCCGAGCGCTTCTCCCTCGTGATCCGCTCGCTGCTCACCCAGGAGGGCATCTGCCTCTCCCTCGAGCCCAACTTCAAGTTCCTCGAAGTGGCTTACCCTTACGTGGCCAAAAGGCTGCTTACGGACCCTGATCCAGCACTGCGGTCGCGACTCATCCAGGTGCGTAGCGTACAGACAGGGGCCTCCCATCCAGCTGCTTCTAGATTGCCTCGCTGCTCACCCAGGAGGGCATCTGCCTCTCCCTCGAGCCCAACTTCAAGTTCCTCGAAGTGGCTTGTCCTTATTTTGCCAAGCGCCTTCTTACGGACCCTGACCCCGCTCTGCGGTCACGCCTAATCCAGGTACGTGTGTGGGTGCTTAGCTCCTCACACCCAGGAAGGAGGGCACCTGCTTCTCCCTCGAACCCAGCTTCAAGTTCCTCGAAGTGGCTTACCCCTACGTGGCAAAACCTCTTCTCACCGATCCCGACCCGGCTTTGAGGTCCCGGCTGATTCAGGTACGGGGGGTGCTGTGCTGTGCTCACTAGGAGGTACGTGGTGCATGTCGCTCGCTGCTCACCCAGGAAGGAGGGCACCTGCCTCTCCCTCGAGCCCAACTTCAAGTTCCTCGAAGTGGCTTACCCCTACGTGGCCAAACGTCTCCTCCCCTTCACTCCTCCCCCTATTTCCAACACAACCAGGTGCTATTCAAAGACGGTGTGTTCCAGTGGAAGCGCCTGGAGAATCAGATCACACTGGCTCTAGCCAACATGGTCCCTTTCTCATGCCCACATCTCCCCCTCTCCTGCACATCTCCTGGCGCTCCCCCTCGCCTCCCCTCCCTCTCAGGTGCTATTCAAGGACGGGGTGTTCCAGTGGAAGCGCCTGGAGAATAAAACGGAACTATCCCAACACCACCCCTCTCGCTCTCCTCTATTCCTTCCCTTCATCTCCTTCCCTGCAGGTGCTATTCAAAGACGGTGTGTTCCAGTGGAAGCGTCTGGAGAATCTGATCACACTGGCCAAGGAGCAAGTGGCGCTAGCAAACAGAGCACGCAATCCAGACGGCACTTTCACGGCAGTAGCAGTGGCAGCGGCAGCAACACCAGCTCCTGCAGCTGTTGCCCCCAACTCACGCTTCTTCCCACTTGATCCTGCTGCTTTCGGGTGAGTCTTAAAATCTTTTCAAGGTGCAAGTGGCTCTGGCCAACAGGGCACGGCACCCAAACGGCTCTGCAGTGACAGCAGTAGCAGCGGCAGCGGCAGCAGCAACACCGGCACCGGCAGCTGTCGTCCCCGACTCACGCTTCTTCCCACTTGACCCCTCTGCATTCGGGTGAGTTGCGAGTTCTGAGTTTTAAGTTGATGTGAGTCTCCCTCGTCCTTCCCCGTCTCTTCCTCAACCCCATTCCTCTCTCCCCCTCACCCTTATTCCCCCTCACTTCCGCACTCTCTCCCCACTTCTTCCCCCACCTCCCCCTTCACTTCCAACCACAGGAGCCTCAGCCAGCTCGCTCTGCCAATCCCAGCTCCAGCCTTCCTCACAGGCCTCTCCACTACAGGCCCAGCCAGAGCCGCCACGTCAGCTGCCACGTCAGCAGCGTCAGCAGTGGCGGACGGGGGTTTGGACCTGAGGGAGACGATTCGGGACGGGGCACGCGTACTGCTGATGGACCCGGGGCTCCGGAGGCAGATTCTGCTGGCGTTCACTCAGGACTCACGTTTGCATGTCAAGGAGGTGAGGCTGCATGTGAAGGAGGTTGGCGCGAGGAGTGGGGGGCAATATGAGATGGGTTTAGGCGCGCACTCGTGCTGCTGCTGATGGGCCCGGGGCTTAGGAGGCAGATACTGCTGGCATTCACCCAGGACTCACGTTTGCACGTTAAGGAGGTGAGGGTGTGGTGTTGTTGACTGGGAGAATGGACGCCTTGGGATGGTGACGGGGCGCGCGTGCTGCTGATGGACCCCGGGCTCCGGAGGCAGATTCTTCTGGCATTTACTCAGGACTCGAGGCTGCACGTGAAAGAGGTGAGGTGGGGTTGAGTGGGCGGGGTTTGGGCATGCACGTGTGTTGCTGATGGACCCAGGGCTGCGGAGGCAGATTCTGCTGGCATTCACTCAGGACTCACGTTTGCACGTGAAGGAGGTGAGTGCGATGAAGTGGATGACACTATGAGACAGGGAAGGTATCAGGCATGTGTGCTGCTGATGGACCCGGGGCTGCGGAGGCAGATACTGCTGGCGTTCACTCAGGACTCGCGGCTGCATGTTAAAGAGGTGAGTGGGTGATAGAGAGCAAGGAAGACGGGGCTCTTGTTCTGGTGGACACTATGAGACGTTGACGGGGCGCGCGTGCTGCTCATGGACCCGAGACTCAGGAGGCGGATACTGCTGGCGTTCACCCAGGACTCAAGGCTGCATGTGAAGGAGGTGAGTGGGTGATAGAGAGCAACGCAAAGGAAGACAGGTGGGCTCTTGTTCCGGTGGACACTATGAGACGTTGACAGTGCGCGCGTGCTGCTGATGGACCCGGGGCTCAGGAGGCGGATACTGCTGGCGTTCACCCAGGACTCGCGGCTGCACGTGAAAGAGGTGGGTGTGAAGGGGAGCAGGGATACCGTATTATGGAATGACGATGGGGTGCGCATCCTGCTGATGGACCCGGAGCTCAGGAGGCAGATACTGCTGGCGTTCACCCAGGACTCACGGCTGCATGTTAAAGAGGTGAGTGCGATGAAGAGGAAGAGGTGAGATAGGGAAGGCGCGTGTGCTGCTGATGGACCCGGGTCTCAGGAGGCAGATACTGCTGGCTTTCACTCAGGACTCGAGGCTGCATGTGAAAGAGGTGAGTTGGGGAAGAGAAGGGGAGGAAGACTATGAGGTGGGGTTTGGGAACATGTGTGTGCTGCTGATGGACCTGGGGCTTCGGAGGCAGATACTGCTGGCATTCACTCAGGACTCACGTTTGCCTGTTAAGGAGGTGAGTGGGTGATAGAGAGTAACGCAAAGGCTGCATGTGAAAGAGGTGAGATGGGGGAAGAAAAGGGGAGGAAGATTATGGGACGGGGCACGCGTGCTGCTGATGGACCCGGGGCTCCGGAGGCAGATACTGCTGGCATTCACTCAAGATTCACGTTTGCATGTGAAAGAGGTGAGACGGGGGAAGAGAATGGGAGGAAGATTATGGGATGGGGTTTGGGCATTTGTGCTGCTGATGGATCCGGGGCTGTGGAGGCAGATACTGCTGGCATTTACTCAGGACTCGCGGCTGCATGGGCGGGGTTTGGGCGTGCGTGCTGCTGATGGACCCAGGGCTCCGGAGGCAGATTCTGCTGGCGTTCACGCAGGACTGACGTTTGCACGTGAATTAGGTGAGTGGGTGATGGAGAGCAACGCAAAGGAAGACAGGGGGCTCTTGTTCTCGTGGACACTATGAGACGTTGACGGGGCGTGCGTGCTGCTCATGGACCTGAAGCTCCGGAGGCGGATTCTTCTGGCATTCACCTGTGACTCACGTTTGCATGTGAAGGAGGTGAGACAAAGGGTGTGGGTTTGCTCTCGTTGTTGAAATATTAGGTTTCTCTAGGTCAGAGAGGGACACCATGGTATGGGGTTTGGCCGACTGTTGCTGATGGACCCGGGGCTCCGGAGGCAGATACTGCTGGCGTTCACCCAGGACTCAAGGCTGCAAGTGAAAGAGGTGAGGATGGGGGTGAGTGGGTGGGTGGGTCTATGCTGACTGTGAGGTGGGGTTTGGGCGCGTGTGCTGCTGATGGACTGGGGCTCCGGGATTCAGCTGCTTTTGGCGTTCACTCAGGGCTCACAGTTGCATGTGCAGGAGGTGTGCATGTGGGAAGTAAGGGGGGAGACTATGGAATGGGGTTTGAGTCAAGACTCACGGTTAGACAATCTCAACTCTCTCCATCCCCTTCTACCCCATGTTGATAGGTGATGGATTTATACCGGCTTGTGGCTGACGACCTGCCTACCGATGCTCTTGTGGGAGACATTGTTGAAGGTGAGACAATTTCCTCTCAACTCTGGTCCGACCACGTGTGTTTCGCTTTGATCTTGCAATCTGCTTTTTTGTAGTCCGTTGGTATGATTTGTTTGGTAATGCTATCTCTCTGCAGGCATACCATCGATTGGAAGGGATCTGCTTCTTTCGTGGAGTGACAGCATCCTCGAAAGGCGGTAGATATCTTCCCTATGGTGCTCATGCACAGAGTTTGCTCCTTCAATGATCAAAATAGCTATCATGTATGTAGAACAACGCGTTATGATCGTACATTGAAAATAAAACGCTAGAGGGAGGTTTCCTCCTCCCTCCCCACTTGGCTTAATCTCTCCAAAAGTATGGTGAAGTCATGACGAAGGGGTTAGGAAGAATAAGGATGTAAACAAATAAAAGTCTATACCGAATCAGCTTATACTACGGTCTGACTAGGAATGACTCGCTTGGCAGATTCGTAATATCTGCACCGTCACATCCCCAATCCTTCCACGTCACACTTGCCCCAGGTATCTGCCAACACACGCCAGCGGTGGAATGAAAATTCACTGTTTTCTACTTTGAACCGAAGCCAAGTCATGATGAAAACTGCGAGAACGTTCTGGACCGAGTTTAACTGCATTGTCGGTTCCCTCGAATTGCCTAAGAGATAGAGGAATCTAGGGAGAAAAGTCACAAATAATGTGCTTTGACACTTCAAATCGGTCGAAGACGATTCTGTGCAATCAGAAACGGTCTGTTTTCGCAACTTACGGTATGGAACATCCTTTCTCTAGCTTTGCTCTATTGCAGGCAAAACTGTCTGGAAGGTAGGCTCATCCCCCGAAGCCAATAACGTCCCAGTATATTATCTTGGCCGACTCTCGTGTTATTCTGCTGTGTAAGGACAACGACTCTTATTCCATTTCTGCAGTACATTCAGCGTTCTCTCGTTAGGGCATGTATCAGCATTAGCAAGTAGTAGGACTCCTTTGAAACAGCTTGTAAGATTTAGACGTAGCTCTCTGCTCGACCGTTTCGACCCAAGTTGTCACCTTTTTCGCTCCAGAGGCCGTTTTTGTCCAGACGTGTAACGGTCCTGCTTTATACATTGTCGCGCCAGTCATGTTTCGCTTTGCTGCCCCTGGAGTGTCGCTCGCCCTCGGGATTGTCGCCGTCTCCTCCTGCCAGCGCGCCTCCGCCTCCACCACCTCCTCCGCCTCCGCCGGCGCTGCCGCTCCTCGCGGCGCAGTCGCCGCGGAAAGGGATACTGCGGGGAAAGGCGGAAAGGGAAGCTCGGCGGGGGATGCGGCGGGATCTGCGGCAAACGGCGAGCAGCGGCGAGTGATTGTAGCGGTGGATCACAGTCGAGATAGGTGAGTCGAGATTAAAAAGCTTTTCATTCCATTCGCCCTTTTGTGTCATGATATCATTCATGGAGTTCTGAGACACCTTAAATATTCCATATTCTCTCCTGTGTCTTAACGTCATCCATGCATCGAGTTATGAGACACCTTGAGAACTCCACATTCACTCTCCTGAATCTTACTGTCATTCATACATCCGAGTCTGAGACATTCTAAAAACTTTCTATTCGCCCTCCTGTGTCGTAATGTGATCCATGCGTTCACCTTCTCAACAGCTTGCACGCCGTGGACTGGGCGATTGAGAATCATTTGCGGCCGTCCGATCTGGTGACGATGCTGCATGTGCAATCGCCAACGGAGGCCCTCACTGCTCCCGGAATCTACGCAGGTAACGTCCGGAATGGCACCGCCTGGTTGCAATCTTTAACCTGGTTTCTTGTTATATTTGGAAGCGAGATGCTGCCAGGTAACGGAATTCGCCAAGTTCGCCAGGTGACGGGTTCAGTTCAGAGGTGCGTCGCCAAGTACGAGAGGGGGAATTCGCTTTCGTATGAGGGGGGCGGTGCATCGGTTTTTATTGAAAGCATACGAGCGTCTCTGTCTCTTGTTCTTGCTGATGTGCAGCTTGGGATTCTGACGCGGGTGGTGCTGGTAACAGCAGCAGCAGCAGCAGCAGCAGCAGTGGCAGCAGCAGCAGCAGCAGCAGCAGCAGCAGCAGCACTGCTAACATTCACAGGGTTGATGCTTCTAATGCTGCTGCGGAGGCATTGACTGCATCCGATGCCGTCTCTGCTGCTAACGCTGCTGCTGCTGAGAATGATGCTGCAGTTGCTACAGTGGACGAGCTGCTGCATCAACCGTGCCTAACCCCATTCCACTCCCTCTTCCCCCTCCTGCCACCTCTTCCCGAATCCCTGCTACACCATACCCACGACCACCACCATCCCAACAACTCTCTCAACAATAATTCCCACAATGATCCCATCAACCACTCCCCGGGCCACGACCCATCAGCTCTGGGCGACACGACGATGAGTGAGGCGGCCATGGATCAGCTTCTTGTGCGCACAGAGGAGCGCCAGAGCGCCGTCAACGCGGAGCTCAAGCGGCTGCTGCTGCAGCGATGCTCCAACGCGGAGGTGAGGGGCCAGCCTGTGTGGTGGGGATGGAGGTGAGGGTCTCTTGTCTGATTCGGATGCTTTTGAGGGTCCGGAGGTTGGGCTCCCACCAACCACTCCCCGGGCCACGGCCCATCAGCTCTGGGAGACACGACGATGAGTGAGGCGGCCATGGATCAGCTTCTGGTGCGCACGGAGGAGCGCCAGAGCGCCGTCAACGCGGAGCTCAAGCGAATGCTGCTGCAGCGATGCTCCAATGCGGAGGTGAGGTTCTGAGCGTCTGGTGCAGATTGAGGTGAGGCTCTTCCTGTGAGTTGCGGATGGAGGTGAGGGTCTGGAGGTGAGGGTCTGGAGGTGAGGGTCTGGAAACGAGGATTCCACCAACCACTCCCCAGGCCACGACCCATCAGCTCTGGGCGACACGACGATGAGTGAGGCGGCCATGGATCAGCTTCTTGTGCGCACGGAGGAGCGCCATAGCGCCGTCAACGCGGAGCTCAAGCGACTGCTGCTGCAGCAATGCTCCAATGCCGAGGTGAGGGGTCAGCCTGTGTGGTGGGGATGGAGGAGAGAGAGAGAGCCCTGTGATGGGGACGGAGAAGCAGCCGAGTGCCGTCAACGCGGAGCTCAAGCGACTGCTGCTGCAACGATGCTCCAATGCCGAGGTAAGAGTCCTGCCTGTGTGATGGGGATGGCAGAGAGGGAGAGCGCTGTGATGGGGATGGCAGAGAGGGAGAGCGCTGTGATGGGGATGGCAGAGAGGGAGAACGCTGTGATGGGGATGAAGGAGCGGCAGAGCGCAGTCAACGCGGAGCTCAAGAGACTGCTGCTGCAACGATGCTCCACTGCAGAGGTGAGGCTCCTCGTGTGTGGTGTGGTTTAGGAGAGGCAGAGTGTTGTGACATCAAGAGGCTGCTGCTGCTGCTGCCGCTGCTGCTGCAGCAGCGATGCTCCAACGAAGAGGTGAGGGTTCGGCTGTGTGAGGGGGAGCTCAAGAGATTGCTCCTGCAGCGCTGCCCCGACGCAAAGGTGAGGGCCAGCCTTTGTGATGCGGATGGAGGTGAGGAAGAATTCTTGCAGTGCTGGTCTCAAGCGAGTGCTGCTGCTGCTACTGCTGCTGTTTGCACAAGATGCAAAGATGTGTGTCCATCAACTGAGGGATAACGTCTGTGAGACGTTTGATAGTCCCTCGTCCAAGCGCTAGGCTCATCCCCGTTTTGATCCTGTGCTCTGCCTCAATCCCAGGAGCAGAGTTTTTCTTCCCACCCATCACTTCCCAACCATCACTTCCCACCCATATCGTCCACCCATATTCTCCCACCCGTATCTTCCCAATTCCCACCCCTCCCCCCCCCCCGTCACTCCAGCTGCAGTGTGAGGTGAGGGTTGTGCGCGATGCAGACCCGCGGGAGAGGATCGTGTCTGAGGTGGCGGATACAGATGCTGACGTGTTGATCCTGGGCAGCCGGGGAATGGGCCCTGTGAAGAGGTGCGTGTGAAGGTTTGGTCGTTCTGCACAATGCCCCTTTCAGTGTAATGCATAGGGTTGTTTCTCATAATGCGTTTGTTTTATATGTCTTGCAGGATGCTGATCGGGAGCGTTTCAGATTATTGTGTCAACCACGCACCTTGCCCTGTGGTAGTAGTAAAACCGTCTGCCTATTCAAGCTGAGAGCATTATACTGTATTAAGTAACTGTTTCTAGTAATGAGCTTAGGATGCACAATGTAGGACGAAGTGCTCTATTGGAATGCAATTATGCAAGCTAGGTTGAGTGATTGCCGCTGGGTGTGCTGAACCGAACGGGACCTTTTGAAACGGATCGCTTTGCCGAAATATTTTGTTGCATTGACGCCCTCTGTTGTAACCCCCTGGCGAATATACCACAGCGTTTGTAAATGAAATTTCGACATTTTCATCTCTACGCTCCGAACAGATTGGTCCCATGTGAGCCCACAAACAAATTCGCTTGACCACAAAGCCCTGTGTCCACAGTACAGTGTACGCTTGCCCTTGAAGATTTGGGGGAATTTCTAGCACACGGCGTCCGCACTCGCGTCGCAGGTAGGTTTTCTCTCGCGTGAGGAGGCGCGACGTACACTCCACTCCAGCACAGTCACAGTGTCGCTCATCTCATCAGGCTGATGGGTGCATGTGAACCAATAAGGGAAGTCAGCCGCCCACAACGACCACTTTCCCCAAACCACTGGCCGACTGGTATGGCAAACGTCTTGGGTGGCGACAAGCCCATATGAACCAGCCTGGTTTGGGTCAGAAGAGCAGCCAATAAGAGGCTCAGATTTCACCGAAGCTCGGCTGCGCGATCTACTGTCGTCAGTCGCGCGTGCCAGAGACTTACATCCAGCGGTCAATCAAGGGTGTCTGAGATGCTGTCCGTCGATTACATTTTCTGCTGCGACTCGATATGGGTGAGAGGGAGGCAGGGAGACCGTCGAGGCGAACCAAGCTACAGTACTAGCCAAGGCAATCTTTTGGCTCGCGCACTTCCTGATGGGTGCATGTGTACAACCTACTACAGTGAGTCCAGCCAGCTCGCTTTGTTTGTTGCTTCGTTCATTTGTTCCGTCTGTTCGTTCGTTCGTTCGTTCCCCTCATTTCGGGACTTCGCGCCGCCCCCTGGATGGAACGCGTTCCGTTCCGCGTCTCACTCACCTCGTCGTTCAGGTCAGGTGGTCCCAGAAACGAGCATGTTGTGTCAAATTGATCGCCACGCCCAATGCGACCTGCATCCCCAGCTCACTTCCACTGCCCTGAAGGCAACAACTCTCAACCACCTTCCCATAACCACCCACCTGAACAAAGCACTGCAATCAGGAAGTTCAAACCTCCAACCTCAACACCAACCACTTCAGCTTTGACCTTTTTGTACAGCCGTCGGGCAGCGCAGTCACACACTCCGCGTTCTCCTGACGCAACATCATCCTCATTCATTTCGAACAATTTCTCGGCTTCATCCCCAGCCACATCGAGCATCCTAACTTTCTGATCCGTAATCCTCTTCCAAGCCCAGAAAGTTTCCCGCCATTCGAGGCGCCTTCGTGTGGAAACCTCTTACAGATATGGCGCCTTACTGCGACGCGCAGATGGAGTTCGATCCTAGCACAATCACCTTCTCTTACAATCCCTATCCTCCTCTCGGGCGCAAGCCGCGCCCCAGCATGCTCGCAATACCGGAGACCGTTCCGCCTCCGCTTTCCCCCACTCCGCTTTTCTTCTTCCAGAAACCCATCCCGACGTCGCAGTCGCAAGAGCCGTCGCCGCCGCCGCAACCGCAGCCGCAGGACAGGCAGAGGAGGCGGCTCTGGCGGGACGATCCGGAGCCCCCGCGCGCCAGTGCGCCAATCGCGGGGCTGCCGGAGCCGGCGGAAGCTGCGCCCGGCTGCGGAGGCCGCCTGAATGGGGGGATGATCGCGGGCGCGCATTATCGGGGGAGGAATACAGGGATGGGCGCGGGGATGGGGATGGGTATGGGGCACGGCATTTCACTTTCCGGCTGTGGAGTGAACGAGAGAAAGCCGAATTCCACGATTCTCACGCGAAGCTCGCGATTTGCGACGTCGTCTGTCGCAGAACGGCCCGTCGCAGAGCACGCTGTAAATGTGTCGCAGCAGCAGCTGATGTCGCACATCTTGAGTAGATCCGAATTCAGCGAGTTCGACCTGCAGTCGCCGAGTATGAATCGCAGATATCGCGAATCCTGCGGTTGCTCCGTCGACACGTCATCCCTTTGGTCTAGCCTGATCGCTCTCGTTTGTCCCGAACCTGCCGCGACGTCCGTTTGCGCTGACGAGGCTCGTCGAACGGCTTATGACGCAGTTTTGGATATTCCAGAATTTGTCGTGGATTTCAAGGCGCCACTTCGTGCTGCTAACGAGTGTTCCTTGATGGTGAAAGATGCTGTGCCTGTATCGAGGGAAGCAGCGGGCGGCCCCAGTCCCATGTCCGTGCTCACACCAACTGCGTCCGAACCAAGCCCGACGCAGCCGCTCCCTGCTTTTCTCTGGTAGCGGGCTGAAGCGGCTTTCACTACACCGTGGTCGCGATTATTTAGCTTCACATTGAAGCGTCGTTCTGGCATTATGAGCTGTATTATATGGGGGATGCCCATAAGGGAATCCCTTGCATTGTTAAGTCCGCATTGCCTCATCAAAGCTAATATGCACACGTATACAAAATGATATATTTCCCCACAGATCCATGGCGTCTGAGACAAAATTAACTGTAAGGCCCTCCCGTAGATACTGCCTTACCAGAGCTTGCTTGCCAAGCAGCCTTGAGCTACGAACATTGCCCCTGAATAAGAGCATATGATCTCAACAGTTCCAATCCTAAGCGTCCACTACCACAGCAGTTCTTGTGCGTTGTCATATTTCCATACTAGTGAGACTATTGTCTAGCTACCAGCAGCTCGGGCAGCTCAATACTCTATGCATCCTGTGTGTGAGTGTCATAGAGATGTTGCACTGTTATGATGATACGACCTAAAGAAGATCCTTAACCAGCTGGCCCTTTCCTTCTCCCTCACAACCCGCTTTCTCCTAAACAGTGCACATGGTGTAATGACGCACAGCATGTATACTTTAGATGTTGCGAATGAACGTTAACTCTTAAGGAGCTTCATTTTCTACAGGGAATGGGGAAAAGGTGGAGAAAAGGGAGGGATGGGGGAATGGGAAAAGAGGGAAGAAAGGGGAGGGATGGGTGAGTGAACAAGGTAAACAGCAACAGAGAGAGCATGGACCAAGGTAAAATCACAGCAGCAAGCAGAATAGCAGCAGCAAATGAGAAGCGCAGCGCAGCTAGCTAACAGCAGCTAGAGCGCCTTCTCTTCTACAATGGAAATTGAACGAGCAATAGCAGAGGGTCTCAGTCTCACTTGGATGAACTTGTTGGGCGTGTAGAGAGATGTTGATGTCGGTTTTGAGAAATCTCAAAAGAGAATTCGCACAGATTCAATGAGCAGCAGCAGGGGGTCGCAGTCTCACTTGGATGAACTTGTTGGGTGTGTCAAGCGACGTTGACCCGATGATGACCTCCCGGTTGAGCTGCTGTGAGAGTATGTGCGCCACTCGGATCTGGAAGAAGGAATTGCCGGGTCGGGTCATGGGCATGGGTTGTGGGACATGGGGCATGGGGCATGTGGAGTGGGGCATGGGGCATGGGGCATGGGGTGTGGGCCATGGGGCATGGGGCATGGGGTTTGGGGCGTGCGGCATGGGGCATGGGGTGTGGGGCATGGGGCATGGGGCATGGGGTGTGGCGCATGGGGCATGGGGTATGGGGAGTGGGGCATGGGGCATGGGGCATGGGGTGTGGGCCATGGGGCATGGGGCATGGGGTTTGGGGCGTGCGGCATGGGGCATGGGGTGTGGGGCATGGGGCATGGGGCATGGGGTGTGGGCCATGGGGCATGGGGCATGGGGTTTGGGGCGTGCGGCATGGGGCATGGGGTGTGGGGCATGGGGCATGGGGCATGGGGTGTGGCGCATGGGGCATGGGGCATGGGGAGTGGGGCATGGGGCATGGGGCATGGGGTGTGGGCCATGGGGCATGGGGCATGGGGTTTGGGGCGTACGGCATGGGGCATGGGGTGTGGGGCATGGGGCATGGGGCATGGGGTGTGGGGCATGAGGCATGGGGCATGGGGTGTGGGGCATGGGGTATGGGGCATGGGGTGTGGGGCATGGGGCATGGGGATGGGGTGTGGGGCATGAAGCATGGGGACGGGGTGTGGGGCATGGGGCATGGGGATGGGGTGTGGGGCATGAGGCATGGGGACGGGGTGTGGGGCATGGGGCATGGGGCATGGGGCATGAAACATGGGGGTAAAAGCCGATAAGTTGTGGGAGAATGGCAAGTGCAATGAATCTCTTCCTGATGGAGCTGTATGGATAAGATGTGACATCCCACCGCATCACATCCCATACCACCGCATCATACCACAACATCATATCCCACACCCACACCACCACATCACATCCCACCCCACGGCACAACACCCCGCCCCACCGCATCACACCCCACTCCATTCCCCCTCACCTCGGATCGACTCATGCCGCCCACGATGAACACAAAGAGCCGCCGGCCCTTCTGGCCTGAACTGGCAGCCGAGACTGAGGGACGCTCAGAACTGCGAGGGGAAGAAGAGAAGGCGAGAGGGGAGCAAGGGGAGAGGAGAGACGGGGATTAAGAGCGGGGAAAAAGATGAGCAGCCGGCCATTTCGGCCTGACTTGGCAGCTGAGACCAAGGGGCGCTCAGAAGTGGCAGGGCGAGTGGGGAAGGCGAGCGGAAAGAGTGGGTAACAAAGGGATAGATGATAGTGAGAAAGCAAGGAACAAGAGTAGGCAGGAGCAGGAGCAGCAGCAGGAGCAGGAGCAGGAGCAGGAGCAGGAGCAGGAGCAGGAGCAGGAGAAGAGCAGACCCCTCCACCACGCTCCACCCAGTTCCACTTCCCCCAGTGCGTAAACATAAACAACTGGAATGCAAACCAGCTCACCTGGAGCTCCCTCCCCCCCTCCATCCCCACAACCTTAAGCACCCAGCTCGCCAGGCTACTTCCACTTGTTGCCCCCAGCGCAGCAGCATGACCAGCAACCCAAGTGGGAAAACCTTCACAATCACAATGCAAACCAGCTCACCTGGAGCTCTCCCTCTCCATCCCCACAACCTTAAGCACCCAACTCGCCAAACCGCTCCCACTCGTCGCAGCAGGAGCAGGAGCAGCAGCAGCAGCCCCTCCCGGGGTTGTCTTCTTCCTATTCCTCCCTGCCCTTCTCCCTGCCTTTCCTCGCACTCATGGCCGCCCGGGCCGACCCGGCAGGCTTCTCAGGCCGCACTGACCCTGCAGCCTTTAGCCGACCCACCCCAAGTCCTGCTGCCTCTGCCGACCCGGTCTTCCCGGCTGCTGAGGAGTCGGGTGAGGGCTCGAGGGAGAAGGCAGGGTCTGAGGCTCCTCCGCGGGGACAGGCAGAGCTGGAAGGGGCGGAGCCGGAGGGGGTGGAGCCGGGCTCTTGCATGTAGGGGTAGTCCTGCAGTGACAGCTTGCCCTCGTGCATATGCTCTAAGATGTCCTGGTTGTTTGGGGGAATGACGAGAGGAGGGTATTGGCCGTCAAAGGGAGGTGCCTGGCTCTTGAACGTACGGGTAGACCCGCAGTGACAGCTTGCGCTCGACTAGCTACCAAGACGGGTAACAGCATAAATCTAGTGCTAACATACATGTATGCATGTTGCATCTTATGGCATAATACTTCCTTTATTAAGCAAGTAAAAGAAAAGCAAGAAGAAGGAAAAATATTAAAAAATATAAAATAAAATAAAAACAAACCAGCACCATCTGGCCCGGCCCGGGTCGGGCCAGGCTGGGCTGCCCGTGCTTTTTGAAAATTCTAAAACAAGCGGGCCGGTCCGGCCCAGCTCGACCCGAGCCTAAAGAGCAAGGGCTCTGTCCGAGTTCGCCCGAAGGTGCCCAGGCCAATAACGGCCCGACCCAGGCCGGGCCCGCCCCGGCAGCTAGCGCACTTTCGTTATAGGTACATTGTTTTTTTGGCCATGTTTTAGAGTGGCAAACAAGTCTAGGGCCCGAGCCTAGCCGCCCTGCCCGGGGCATTTTCTGGGCCGGCCCGACCCAGGCCGGGCCCAGCCTGCCTCCGTGCTCTACCCACCGCAGGCATTGCACCTGGATAAACGGGTAGAAGCGAGACAGCTCGTCCTGCAGTGACAGCTCGCCCTCGTCCTGTACCGAGCCCCCAAGAATTTCCTGGTGGTGGGGAGTGCGGGTAGGGGAGGGAATGGGTTTCATAGGATACGGATTAGAAGAGGCAGAGTTGGGCTCTTGCACGTAGGGGTAGTCCTGCAGTGACAGCTTGCCCTCATCCAATACCAAGTCCCCGAGAATATCCCGGTGGTGCAGGGGTGGGATTGGGTTTTATAGAATGCGGATTGGAGGGGAGGAGTCGGGCTCGTGCACGTAGACCCCTAAGGAACAGCTTTCCCTCGCCCAAGCCCTCTTAGCTGCCATGGATGGGGGTGGGGGCGAGAGGGAGGGGGAGACATGGGGATAGCTTTCCCACAGTCTACTTTTGAGGCGCCTCAAAAGTAGCCTTCCACAAAGGTCAGAAGCAGGGTGCGAGTGGATAGCAAAGACGTGTTTACACGCGTTACGCCGCAATTCATGGCACTTTACGGAGTTGCAACCAATGCAGACTATGTACCTGGATCAACGTGTAGAAGCTAGAAAGCTCATATGCCTCTTCCTTGCGCACTCGGCCCTTTTCCTGTGAACCAGGGAAGCCAATAAAGGGTGCAGCCACACACAGCATGAGATAAAGCCACTCAAGTTTCTCGTCACTTAGGCTTTGCGTCACTCAAGCTTACGAAACAGGATTTGATATACGAAACAAAGCCATTGAATCGACAAGAACGAGTTAATTTCATAGGAAACGCAATGCTACGTGCAAGCCCTCTGTTTCTGATTCCGTTAAGCACACTATAAACTACATTTCCTAACACCCTAATCACCTTGCAACCATAATGCACACCTTGCAACCGTACTGCACACCTTTCAACCGCACTGCACACCTTGCAACCGCACTGCACACCTTGCGATTGCGGAAGGAGAGGGGGGAGCCCGAAGAGGCGTCCTTGTTATTTCCCACTCCCAGGAACTCCAAGTTGACCACCGTGCGCATGTCCTTCTGGTCTAGCTTCGCCACCTGAAAGAAAAAGGCGGGGAGCGGGAAGGGACGGGTGTGGCATGGGGCTGAGAGGGAAAACGATAGAGAGACAGAGAGGCACCGTGTGACAGCATGAGAGCGCTTCAGTCACTCCCAGGAGAGGTGGTGTGGGAAATGGCATAGATATTTTTTTTATTGGTTGATCACTGTGTGCATGCCCTCCTGGTCTCAACACTAGCTTCGCCAACAACTCCAAACTGGCTTCGCCAGCAATGCTTTGTCAATAGGCCTGCACAGCGATTTTCCGATTGGTCCTAAAGGGGTTACAGGCGCGTTCGCATGAGGGGTTAAGGGCGCACGGACCCGCTACTGAAACAAGTCTTTTTATCCCCGTGGTATAGTGGTTGGGATTCTGACATGGTATTAGAGCAGAAATGTCGGGTTCAAATCCCGGTGTATGCACAAGCAATCTATTGCCGCTATGCCGTGTCTTGGGCCTCCTAGTGTTGGGGGGTGTCAGCAGACTTGCACTGTGGATCCCCGATTGATGCTATGAGGGGTTACAGGCGCGTTCGCGTGGAGGGTTATGGGCTCATGGACCCGTTACTGAAACAAGCCCTTTTAACAGACGTGTTCGCGTGGTCTAGTGGCTCGGATTCTGACATGATTCAAGGTTAACTAACATGAGAGACCATCCGCCACTCCCTAGAAGTTGGTCTAGCATTGCATGATTTATCGCAGTGCGAGTCGTGTTTTGAGTCGACTCAAACTGAGCGTGTTATGACTCGACTCAAATTGAGCCGTGTTTCGAGTCGACTCAAAATGAGCCGTGTTTCGAGTCGACTCAAAATGAGCCGTGTTTCGAGTCGACTCAAAATGAGCCGTGTTTTGAGTTGACCGAAAACACGGCTTCGCCATCAACGGTTCAACGTTAACCAGCACGAGAGACCATCCGCCACTCCCCAAAAATTGGTCTGGTCTCGCATGATTGATCGCTGTGTGCAGCATGTCAGCCTGGCCGAGCTTCTTCCCTCTCTCACCCATCTCCATCCCCCATTCCCAACAAGACCAATTTTCTCCCTTCCACCCCACCTCCATCCCACACCACCTCTATCCCACACCACCTCTATCCCTTTCTCCATCCCCCATTCCCCCCTCTGCGCACATTCATCCAGAAGTTTTGTTTCTGGGGGTCGAGCTTTTCGGGGTGCATGGCAGCATACACCATGAGCAGCCGCATCTTGTTCTCCGTGCTCATGTCGGGGTACTTGTTGATCAGCGCCGTCAGCTCCTTGTAGCTCGTCCCTGAATACCCAAACACAAAGCCCTGCTCCACCTTTCCCAAATCGGACAGCATGTCTGCGTTGAGATGCTTCATGAGATCGGAGGAGATCTGGAGGTTAAAATGAGGCAGTGGAGAGGGTTGAGGGGGAAGCGGGAGACAAAAGAGAGGCGCAGAGGCGCAGACGTAGTGGGGTTGAGGAGAAGGGCGGACATGGGAGAAATTACAAAGCCCTGCTCAAGCTTCCCCACGTCAAACAGCCCATTCGTGATAAGGCGCTCGCTCAGAGAGGAGGAGACGTGGAGAGGGGGAGAAGCGGGAGAGGAGGGGGGGCATGGGCAGGCTCAACCCTCGCTGCATGCGTAGCAGATGCGCACACACACACACACAC